TGAAAAGTTCAAACTTTATTGTCCATTCAAAGGAAAGCAATTAACATATTTTTATTTTAAATATTTTCTTCAGAAATATACAGTAATTAATGAAATATTATTATAAGCAAAGGAAACTGTATTTTTATAAAGTACAGAATTAAATAAATGAGCGAAACAACTTATGGCTGAGCCACAATTAATAAATAAAAATGTTGAAAAATTTTTTGTCTTTATTTTTCTACATTTTGTGCTTTATATTTTTTAAAAAAAAGTATGATTTAATTTTATCTTATCTCTCTGGTACCAAACTATCAAGCTTGAAGTAAATGCAATATTTAATAAAACAAATAAAGAAAAATAAATCTTGGAACTTATAAAACTTATTCATATCTGAAATATATTCTTACTTCCTTTAAGCTAATAAAATATAATTGAATAATAAATTTTCTCTTTAATATTTTACTTCTCCTTTACATAGTCATGAAGATGCTTTTTTGCACAGTAAGAACTAATAAAAAAACATACCTGAGCACATTTTCCTGTCAGCAAACTTTTAAAGATGTTTCCTGTTAATTTTTTAATCCGTACAGAATCCTTCACTGATAACTTCTCAACATAACCAAATACAAAACCGTTTCCATTACAATGAAGAACTGCTGGTTGAAAGCAAAGCAAAGCATTAAACTAATTTCAAACTTTTTAGTTGGCATGAAAAGGTGCAATTTTAAAGAAATTTCTCAACACATTTTACGAAATTAAATACAAAAAGTTTCTATGAAAATTTTATTGAAAAGTTAGTGAGATAATTTTGCAATTTCTCAGATAAAAGCTGCATTAGTTATAAAAATAACTGCACAAAACATTATGAGAAAAAAGGAACATAAAATAAAGACAAAAGAGGATTTAACTGAAATTTTAAATTCGTTAGAAAAACAAAATATAAATACTATAATATTGCATTGTTTTCGAACATCCTTTCAAACATGAAAAATTCATTTCAATTTACAAAACAAAATTATTTTCTTAATGCAAAAAATGAAAATTAAAACTTAATTTGAAATGTTTTTGTCATTGTGTTCGGTCAATAAAAATGGAAATTGCATGAGCTTAACATTTTAAATTGCATTAAAGTTTAATGAATTGCGGTTTTGTAATTCAATTGCGGCCGAAGTACGAGTTGCCACGTAGAGGAAACACTCAAAGTGACACAAAAATCAACATTGACACTAAGAAAGACAAAACCATGACAAAGCAAAAAACATTCTAGGGACACACGAATAGCACTGCGAAAAACACAAAAACCAGGATGTACAAATGTTATCAAAACCAAACAACAATGAACGTTCAAGCCAACAAACCATAAAACAGCAAAAAAAAAACACAAGAACGCACACAAATTTCAATGTGTTAGGGCAAACAAACAAGTGCGCACACTTCTAAATGTCTTTAAGTGCACTAAGAACCACACACAGGACACAGCACACAGCACATATCCTTTTCAAGCTAAGTAACTGCCAAATGCATTGTTATTGTGCCATTTTTTTTCTACAATTTTTTTAAAAAAAACTTTTTTTGTGATAGTCCTTCAATTGGATTTTATAAAAATTTTTAAGGAATAAAGAAGACGTACTTGTATTTGTCACTGTTTATCAATGAAAGTGTCCTTCAGGTTGATGGCATTGTTACCTTATTGTTAAGAAAGCGAAGCATACTTTTAGGGTTTCTGAACTCTTGTGAATTTTATTTTTGATGTCATATTGGACTTTGTAAACACATTTCCAAATGTTTTATTGCTAGTGTACAAGGTTGGATATATTAGGTGGATCCACTTAACATATTTAACCAAAGAAGACAAAAAAAAGACATGGCAGTTTTATTGCAAACGAAATTGCACAAAATTTTAGCTTCTTAGTTTATAAGTTACATTTCAGTATCAATTTCTTAAGCATAAGATAGTTGACCTGTAAAATCGCGTTTAAGAATTTTTCATAGTAAAAATCGCTAAATGCACTTGAGATAGTCTCACATTAACAGCTGCTGTAAACAAACTAATTGACAGATAGCGCTCAAATTTGTACCATATGTCAAGAAAGGGTGTACCAACATAACAAAAAAAGGAGTACCTTTTTGAGAAAGGTCTATTACTTAAGAAGTAGTTAACAACAAAATCCGGATACTTTTTGAGCAGGTATGTTTTTTAGGAAAGGTACTAGATTAAACAAGATTTTGTTGTGGATGAATAGTGAATGAGGGAATGAATATAAATTCCTTGTGTTACTAATTACCTATAACCTCTCCTAAAACAAACATATAACCATCAAGCTTTCATTAGGTAAAAGCGTAATTATCTGCTCTTGGGTAAAGTACCTGTCTAATCCTACAATAACTTTCGCAAACAAACCACACATTTTCCACTCAGCATTACGTCTGTGATATAACAATATCTTTGAATTAATAAATAAAAATACATAATATGAGTTAATTACCATTTGTCTTATTTAGTTAAAAGTTTAGTTAAAAATACGTGAAACCGCTTATTACATAAAAGATTTATTCTTCAAACTTCTACGTTTGTTTTAATTTACAACTATGACTTAAAATTAATTTATTTTATTAATCTTTTAAAATTGTTTATAAATTTTTAAATATCTAATATTTTGAAATTAATTTAATAAAAATTTGAATTTAATAAATATATATATAAATTTTTAATTAAACTTAAATAAAATATGAAGCTACATATAACCATATTTATCATATGTCATATTTTCTTTTAGAAAAAATATTCTTTCTATAGTTTCGGATATACTCGAAATACTTCTATATTTTGTACAAGTATTTAGTTGCCACATGCTGCTCTTTCATACGATTAAAATTAAAATTTTGGGTATAATTCTCATCACGTTTAGTAAATAATTTAAGATTTTAATTTTAAATATTATAATTCTCATTTACTAAAACGGTTAATGTTTATATTAAAGACTTCGACACGTTAGTCTTTATAAATTTGATTTTAATATGAAATGATAACAAAAACGTTGAAATAGGTATCTTCCATTGATTTGCCTATTATTTTAAGATCTTGTCATATTTTTTGTAACGAATATATACAGTTGGGACATTTTGTTTTTTTTTTGTACGAGGATAAGTAAATTTATTTGAAAAAAAAATATCACAGCAACCAGAAAACGAATTTGTATTACTTATTAGATATTTCAATGTAACTATTGAATTTCCGATCATTTTTTTTGTAAGGAAACTTATCACATATTCAAAATATTTGTTAGAAAACTATCACTTGCAGGCGTTTTCTCACAAAAAAGTTTGTGGGCAAAACTGTAGGTTATTCATTTTAATTTTTAAGATTTCGATAATGCTTTCGTGAGGAACACGATAGTCTGGTTAATGAGCAATTTACATTTACAAATAATAGTGTAGGTTCATAAAGATTTTTTATATATGTCTATATGATTTATATGTCACATATATGATTTTGACACAGAAATATAAGACTCCATATAATTTGGCACGAATATAGTCTTCAGTAATGATTTAAATACTTATATTTAATGTTAAATTTTTTTATGAGACCAGTTTATTAACTAAAAAATGGGTTAGTTATAATATTATGTTGGACCAATTATTTTTATTTAGTTCAACATTTCAGCTTTAATTTAAAGATATTTTGAAAAAAAAAAAAAAATAAAATTATATTCAAAATATTAAACTAAATAAAAATTGATGTTAAATGACTTAATTTGTTTTTGTTTAATTTATATTTTTAACAATAGTTTAACGTAACTGACCAGTAACCCTAAAAGAAACTATTTTTTAGTTTAATATGCTGAAATCATTAAAACTTAAATTGAATTAAAATATTAAAATCATTAATGAATCACATAACCTTGATATATTATATGAAATATTATTTTCAGTTTCGGTAGTTAACAATGTAACACAATAATATTATTTTTAGTCATGAAATAATTAAATATCTAAATTCAACAAATAATTCTAATTCAACAAATAAATCAAAAGGCATTAGAAACCGTAGTTATTATATAATTATATATAATTATTAATATAATTAATAATTATAATATAATTAATTCATCTTTAAACTTCAAAAATGAAAATCTCTGTTCTAAAAAACGACGTTACGCATACGCTATGTGGTACTAAGTAAAAAAAAAAGAAACAAATGTTAAACAACAAAACACAAACCTTTTTATAAAATTTAATAATTGAACAATTGATACTAAAACAGTTTCTCTTATTAATTTTAAATTTTTTAGGTAAAATTTAATAATAGACATTAAACTGCTATAAAACATAAACAAAACAAGCAAAAACTAAAACTGCCTTAAACTATGCAACAAATATTTCAATAAGAACAAATTAATTAATAACTTTTAATAATAAAAATAATAATAAAATAATAATAATCAAAATATACAACATAAAAATCTATTCAATCGTTTTTAGTAAAAAAAAAAAACAAAAATAAAAAACGTAAAGTACACTGCTTAAAATTATGTAAAAACTTTTCTGCATTTTTAATGATTTAAATTAAATTCACAAAAAATAAAATCATAAAAATAGATTCAAATAAAATTAAAAAATAAATTCAAATAAAATTAAAAAATATATGAAAATAAAAAACTGCTAAGTCAATTTGAAACGATAAAATTTTTAAGCTTTTTTATTCAGAGAAAATATAATAATTTATCGAATAATTTGTATGAGAAACAAAATTAAAATATAAATTGAACTGAAGCTGTGTTCGTTTTGCGCTTAATTTTAAACTTTACTATATAAATATCTTTAAACGAAAATTTATTATAAATCAATTCAGAAAGTAAAATTAATTTAAACTATTTAAAAAACGACCAAATAGTAAAAAAAAGAAAAACAAATTTGCAGAACCAAATAATTATAATAAACACTATAATAAGTAATAATTATGACGTCCAATATTTAACAAAAAAAAACAAAAAAAAATAATCAAATAAATTTGTAACCGCAAAATAAATTTTTAAATGCGATATTGAAAAATTTCGTAAATTGCTTTTTACTTACCACACTTTGTGAACGCATAATTGAAAAATAAAAATGTCATTGGCATTGTCCAATTTAACGAGCAACGGTGTCGATGGCAACACAATAACCACAATGCAATCAACAACACCAACAACCATCACAATCGGGCACGCAAATACAAATACAAATACAAGCAATACCAATATTGGCAACACTGAATTGAATGTTGGTGTCATGCCGGCCATTATAAATTTGAATTTGAATGGCAGCATTGGCATTGCACCCATGAATAGCAGCAATATCAGTGGCAATGCAGTGACCGCATTCGTCAATGGGACTGGTATCATTGGTGGCATTGGTATTGCCAGCAATGATAACAACAACAATATGGATAATACAAGCGAAGAGTCCAATCCGGTAACAATTTACAGGTAACAATATAAATTAAAAAAAAAAACAATGCCATCTGTAAATGCAATTTCCACGTACGCTTGCACTCTTTATTAAAATTTTTTTTCCAACTCTTCAGATTTATGGTATGTATTTTTTTTTTTAATACAATAACCATTTAATTGTTCAATTAATCTGAGACAAAAAAGCTTATATGTCACAATGAATATTACAAGTGTCATAGATAAAGAATACTAGTGATAAATATGCGAAACTATTATTATTACTCTTTGTGATATCACAACGGTGGATACATAACCGAGCATAACCTAACCTAACTATTATTATTTAATAATAATATTTGCAGTACAGATTGTGTATTATTTTTGAATAGTTTATTCAACAAATAAAAAAATTGTCACATAAACAATCTATCAGCTGAGTATAACTCGAGTTCAACTCTGATGGTATAAGCCTTTATTTAGAGTATAAACTATAATAATATATTCATTAATTAAAAATAAAATATAATTTACTATTGTTCAAAATAAATATAGTTTCTTCAATCATAATATCATATAATTTATCATAAAAATCAATTTTTTTATAATAAAAATCATAACCATTTTAAAACCATAAGTCAGGAATACTTAAGCTAGCTTATCTACCGATTTAACACCGAATTTTAGTATAGTCAGTTATTTTAAGCAACTTTTATAATAGTTTGGAATAGGAAGATTTAAATTTTCAATTAGTTTAACACATTTTCTGTCATATTTATTATTATTATGTTGAGACTAGTTGAGTCTGTGCAGTTTAGCGGTTTTACTCTTTATTAACTGCGAGGTTTTTTCATAACCCCTCTCTACGCCTGACTGTATTATTGTTTATCACTTTATCAGACTAAGCAGTAATTGATATCAGACCTGCATACCTCACTGAGGAGTCATATTTATATTTATTAATATTTATATTTAGTTAAGCGTTAGAAGCTATTTTATAATTGAAGGCCACTGACTACGGTCACGACTTTATTGTTAATTATTTTAGTGCTACTCCAAAGCGTTTCCATCTAGAGACGCTTTACTGCCGGGAGATGTTTTTTATACTCTGGATCTCGGTCATAGAAAGGTTTTTTGGCAATTGTTGCATTAAGGTAATTATTCGGAGTATCTGAAAAATCTGGGTATATCATTGATATTATGCAAACATCTGTTAAAGCCTTTCTTGTGCACTGCAATTTAATAAACGATGTGAAGACTCAATAATATGCATACATCTGTATGCAAGTTGGGCGCATTATATTAAGTAAAAATTCAGCATTCCAGTGATAAGTTTGCTGATGGGTTACAACCGTTTATGAAATAATGCTAGAATATTGAGTCTCCCGTTTAAACGTTCCTGTCGCTGCTGTGGAGTGTTGGAAAAAGTGTCTCACATCTACTTTGTTACTGTGCTACGCATGCACATTAGCTGCTACTATTATACCATATTCTGCTACTATTATTATATATTATTCTACTAATTACTATTAAAGCAAATTTCCTTTTTGAGAATCGTGACCAACTGCAAAACCTATCCCCTAAATAAACTTTATAGTTTCTTTATAGGTTTTTATACCTCTAAAGTTAATTTACGATAACACAATAAGCCAACAGCCCTAACTGAGTACATTGGATCGTTGAAATAAACTAATATAAGTTTTTGAAGTAGTTTGAATCATTCAGTTTTTATAATTTTTTATAGTTCTCTTTCTAACATATCTGTGTACTATGATATCTTCGATTTAGTAACTTTTTAATGTAAAATTTGATTTAGAAAAGCTGCATCCAATATTCTGAATTTCAGATTTAGTAAAATATAAACACATATTTGCATATTTATGAAAGCCCTTTATCATAAAATTAATAAAATAGTCCACTCAATTTCTTTTTCAATTTGCAAAGTGTTTTAATAAAGCACAGGATTAAGCAGTTATAAATGTCAAAATATCCATAAGTCGCTTAATAAACATTTCTCACTTTCATTGAATAATGACGGCGTTTGTTATTATCAGCAACGCTTTTTATAGCTTCAAAGAACTTAATTTATATTAAAATCGATAAGACGGTCCTTCTGCTCAAAGGTAAAACATTTAATCACACATTTTGTATGCAACACTGCCAACAGCAGCAACAATAAAAGCAACAACAACATGACGTTGGTTAACTGTTTGTTGGATGTTGCCGAGTTTGCTGCTATTGACTATCGCTGCTAATTGCTTCGCGTCATGCAACGCAAAGCGCACATCGCACAAAGTGAAATTTTAAGCGGTAGCTGTTTGTGTGCCACCTCCGCATGCAACAGAGAAAGCCAAATATTTACCCACATACATACATATGCACATACTCATACAAGCGTAATTGCATATAAATCCTTCATATGGATAATATTCACACGTTATAATGCAATGCAAATTTAAAATGTAAATTGCAACTTTCAACGTGCAACTGCAACACAAATTGCAGCTGCTGTTGCTTTAGTCAACTCTCTTTGTTGCTGTGGCTGTGGCTGTTGCTGTGGCTGTGGCTGTTGCTATTGCTACTACAGCTGCTGTTTGTCGTTCCTTCGGATTCCGTCCATACAAATATACGTTTCCACAATATTATTTGACCCGAAGAAAACAGCAACGACAACAACAACACCAACAATTGGAAGTGCATCTATAGAACACATTTGCATGCGCATGTGAGCAAGTAATTATACGCTTTAAAGGTAGCGATTTTTCAAAAATTCGTTTTAATTAATCCAATGGCAAGTAAGCAAACTATGTTGGTCCGAAATGAAGCCAACAACTCTAATTACCTTCATAAATGTAATTTTAAATATAATTGCATTGCAGTAAACAAACTGCAATTGCGACAACAACCACACAACACACATTGAAATTGGTTGCGGAACTATAGTCGGAACTTCATTAAAAAACTACCAACGTAAATATCCTTGACGCGAATGGATAATTGTCACATTGCCCGCTTTAATTAATTCAGATTTATCGTTTATCGCATTCAGATTATGACTAACAGGACAGCTGCAAGTTAACTTACGTATACCTTGTCCATTCGACTGTCTCTGATATTGAACAGTGAAATGTTTTTTATTTAAAGATATTTACAAAAGCTTTAAGCAAAGTTCTAATAAAACTGCTTTAAAAGCAGTATAAAATATACACATTCATTCCTACTTTAATAATAAAATTCAATTAGATCTTCGTCATCACAAGTCTTTCATAATCTGACGTCTGAAGTTTCCCCAACTCGTTCTTAACAGATAATTTTAGTGCATTCAAATCTAACACTGTGGATTTCGAATTTTCGAACTACAAAAAACAGCCAAAAATTCCATAAGGACTATGTTATATCAAAATTGGCTCTTCAGGGATTTAGAGTGTTACAGAAAGTGTAATAATTTGCTAGTAAGACACAAAAGTTGATATTTATTACTGAAAAATACTGCTTTGTCTAACTGACAAGGTACAAATAGCATTGGCTCTCATTACCAAACTTGAGCCGACATATTTCACTGGTTTTTTTATTCACTCTTATCTTTTCTAGTATTTTTTCGAGATTTATTAGTTCAATCTGGGCTATTATATCTTCTGTATATATTACCCATGTTACAGTAAAGGAAGGTGTGCTCTGCATCTTTTCCATCTCCGTTGCCATAAATGCTATTGTTAACTATTGTTATGCGAAAGATAATGACGATAACCGTACCTAGTCTTAGTCAATCATTAGTAGCTTATATTTGAAAGCTATAACAACTCAAAAAATTGAAGTTCAATTCACAATATGGTGATCGATTGGGTCGACTCATGAAGTTATGGGTTCAACAAGTCAGCTTTAACAAACCATCATGAACCAAAATAAATTGGATTTCACTGGATAAGAACTGACACATTTTGTATGTATCCTACGCTCCAACACCAATCAATAATGCATTTAACATTATTGAAATATGATAACATACGTCCTTACAGTTCCTTCAGTAGATGTAACAATTAAACCTGCTAGTCATCGTTTGGGTTGTGATGTCTTAAAGAATTTGTTAAGACAGCCGAGTTTCCAAGGCAAGGAAAATCACTTTATGAACCATTACTTACACATAACGAAAAATTTACTGTTTAATAAAGTTTATATGAAAGTGATATTTCCAAGACATACTTCTTTAGAAATAAAAAAAAATAAAAATTGTCTCCTATATCAAGCCACGTTGAAAGAAATCTTTTTTTTGAAAGATCTTTTTGACGTTGAAAGATTTCTAAAAATGCGAATAGAATAATCTGTATATGCTTAATCTCCCACGCTAATGCTATTACTATTATGTGAGTTATTTTTGTAATTTAAAAAGATATATTAAAAGAATGATATCTAAAAGGATATATTAAAAATTTGCTATTATACTCAAACAGCAACAAAAAGAAAATAAAAACTCTTGCTTGCAGTAAAAATATAGGTAAAACAGCGGCAATTAAAACAAAAAAAGCGCTGAGTAACAGCATCAAAAACAGACAAAAGTACTAGGTTGCTTCTAATTTCTTAAGATAACTTTGGTATGAACATTTTTAATATTAAAACAACAAAAAGTTCTATTCCTTACATAATGATATATTGTTTTAAATGTCAAGCTTTTAGATTAAATATTGAAAACGAAAAATATTTTTATATTAAATAAAATATTTGCAAATAAAAAAGTTATTAATTTTTTAAATCATAATATGACTTTCTAGCTACACCGCATACTTCACATTGCAGAGCATATGTAAATGGCGCACTTCCTGGCTATTCCCTGTACTTCACATTGCAGAGCATATGTGGACGGTACAGTGACGTCCTAAAAAATTTAACGACCGTGATTTCTTAAACATATTACTTTCCTATTTAATAAAACAGTCGCGCACATTATACAGTTTTAATATTTTTAATATATAATGCCAATAACAATTTCTGCCTTCAAAAGGCTGGACTGCTAAGGCACTGCCCATTTCACTCTAAGGACCGGACGGCCCTGTAAGCGTATATATAATATATAAAAACTATCACAGTTGGATTTGTTACATATGTACTGTATTTTGAGTCCCTAAGCACCTTTTTTATAGTAAAATTTTTAAACAACTTGAGCAAATAACCTTTGAATATAAAATGCTTGTACTCTGTCAACACCTGTGCTTCATCCAGGATGCAGTTTACAGTTTTTTGGGCTATTAAAACCAAAAACAGAGTAAAAAGTCAGGTGAATATGCAAAAAGCTACATCGTCAACAATTTTTAATTAACTTTAAAAATTCTATTAAACTTTCTCACCGAAATTGAGAACAGCAGCTTTACACGAAATACTTGTGTATATGAAAGGATATTAAAAAACTTACGAAATTAAATAAAACAAAAAAATATTATAAATGAAGCTGCCATTAAAATGTTGCTTTATAATTAAAAATGTTTCTTCATCAATAAAATGAAAAATAAAATTAAGTAAAATAAAATAAATAAAATAAAAAATAAAGTAAAATAAAATAAAAAATAAAGTAAAATAAAATAAAAAATAAAGTAAAATAAAATGCTTAAAATACAAAAAAATACCGAAGAAAATTATTAAATTTATATACCTAGTATAAGGATTAAAATCGCTTGGGGGCACTTTAAATAAATTGCAAAAGTTTCAACACGATTTTCAATAATTAATTACAAATAAACATGAATGCAGTCAATAAATTGACTTTTATTTAATAAATGTTTCGCTTTTCGTTTAATTGCAGGTGCCGGGCCCCAATAGCGTCACTAGACTGTATGGAGGAGTTCAGTGGTACGGGAGGTCATCTTGATTTCGGTATCAAATTTCTCACTACCAATTTTATGTTAAATTTCTTTGCTTTCGATCCCAATAATCCACACTTAATACCCAATTCCAATTCCAATTCTAATTACAATTCCTTAACCATAAAGCGTAGCCATGTTGTTGCGTGTCGTTGTAGCTTTTATAGTGGCATATATATATATATATATATACATATATATAGCAAAATGGTTCTTTAGTTATTAACTAATTGTTGGTATTATTTATAAAGTTTTCTTTTATTCATACATATATCTCATACATATTTGTGTATAGTTTATGTTGTCTACATAATTCTGTTCCTTTTGTAAAATTATCATAAGAAACTAATTTCGACTGTTCTCGCATACAACACGACATGGCATTCATTGTAAATGAGCTACTCCTCCATTCATACCCAAAACTCTTCTTACGTGTCCATCCAACATAAAAAGTATACATTTTTAAGTGAATTTGTATTTTGTGCCTGTAGCAAGGATTCAAAATGTACACAAAATGTTACGTGTCCTGAGTAATGTATAATTTTTGTAATTAATTACTCACATTATTTTTTTTTTATTTTTCATTTTTTTTTTGTTTTTGTATTTTATTTTTGCAGTTAAAGCATTTTTTCCTATTTCACACAGCCCTTTGACAGCTTTTTTTAGAAATTATTGTTTGTTCCCTTTTATTTTTTATTTCTTTTTTTTTTTTTGTTTTTTTTTTAATATATTTAACACAATTCAGCCTTTTCGTCAAAATAAACTTTGCAATAAATTTTTTGTTTTAGTTGTTTTTTGTCTTTGTGAACTGGCAATTGGTAGTTTTGTCTCTTTGCACTTAATTTTTGTATTAAACGTGATATATAAATCTTGCTTATGAAATTAACGCATAAAACTAATGAAAATGTTCTTGGCAATTCCTTTATTAAAACAAACGAACAATCCTGAAGGCCGCTCTATAAGCCTCGGCTCCAATCCGGCGCTACCGCTGAGGCATGGTTCAACGCCTACGCCGGGCTTACGTTATAAGAATCTAGGCAAAAGTGGTTTACGTGTATCAAATGTTGGCTTAGGTACATGGCCTGTTTTTTCGCCGGGTGTCAGCGATGAGCAAGCAGAAGCAATACTCAAATTGGCCATTGAGAGTGGTATTAATCTGTTTGATATATCGGAAGCGCACTCGGAGACCGAAATTGGTAAAATACTACAACGCACGGGTTGGAAGCGTACAGCTTATGTTATTACAACAAAAGTTTATTGGAGCACAAAGTAAGTTTAATTTTCAATAAAAATTAATTATTTTTAATTTTTAGAGTCAATTATTTTTACGGAAAGATACGTTTCTTTTAACGACAAAGAAGCTATTTTTTTAAAAGTTTGAAAGATTCGAATAGCAAAGAAAAGACAAGAACAATAAATTTAGTTCAATTTGGTTATTGAAATTTGGCTGACCGCATTTTACTTCCTTCATAGAATAAACCTAAGAATATTTGTAGTTATATCGAAATGATGGATCTCTCTGAGAAGATTCTACTGTGGCTCTTCTTAAAATCAGATGATGCCTCTAAACATATTTTGTGTGATTCTCTAGCATTGATCTGGTGAATTAGAAGAATCTAAGATGCAGATTAAATCTCTGTCTGGTCTTAAATCTCATATACCATTAGGTGACATTTCGCTCTTAAATCAAAAGCAGGAAATTGAAATTGATCTAATATTAGAAAATCCTTAACAAGTGAAATTTTGGTTTTCATTTGAAGAACTGAGTGCTTTCTATTTAGTTAGGGTCGGTTTGTAGCATAAAAGATTTTGAAATGCTCCACTCCATTGGTAACCATTGGTGTTAATTTTTATTATTTTTATTGTAACAAGGCCCTCTACCGATAATTACATGTGTCTGTTATGTAGTTCCTAACCAATATACTTTTAATGCGTAAAGCGATGTAAGAATAACATTCCGTGTACATAGAAGCTATTCAAAAGGCTTGCTCCTACTATCACTTGAGACACAATAACTTCACTGCTATATGTATGCGAAATCATTCAAATATTATAAATTTTCAACAACACATCAATATGAGGTCTATCTCATATACGTGCTAATGGAGGGTCTCACAAAAATTAATATCTTAAAAATTAAAAATCTTTTTACAAAGACGTTCTCTGCAGAGAATTTTTTAAATATTATTCCGGGTTTTTTGGTGTAGATAACAAGCATTGTTTTAACTTTTATTCACCTCTGTTTCAATGCTCTTACAGTGCTATGAACTGGTACTTTAACTATTGTTTATTTTAATGACATATTTGAGCTATATTGAATATTCCATGAATGGTCTAGTGAAGTGTAAAATTTAAATTGACTAGCACAATTTAATTGTTATAGAACATTTTTAATATACATATTATATACATAATTACTTAACACGAGTTTGAGAAGTATTTTTTCTTTTCATTGTTGATTTATTTTAGATCCGATGAACGTGGTCTTTCCCGTAAACATATAATTGAATGCGTAAAGGCTAGTCTACAGCGCTTACAACTGCAATACATCGATATTGTTATTATACATAAAGCCGATGCCATGTGCCCCATGGAAGGTAATTCAAAATAAGAAAATAAAATTTTATATATCAAATAAATTTTTTTAATATGAAAAATATTTTTTTTTTTTCGTAAAACTTTTTGTTTGTATTTTAATCAGAAGTTGTACGTGCCATGAACTACGTTATACAACAAGGTTGGGCTATGTACTGGGGTACGGCACGTTGGTCACAAGTTGAAATTATGGAAGCATATACCAACTGCCGTCAGTTCAATTGCATTACGCCAATTGTCGAACAATCTGAATATCATATGTTCTGTCGTGAGAAATGTGAACTATATTTACCAGAAATGTATAATAAAATTGGTGTGGGTCTAATGGCTTGGGGACCACTATCAATGGCTTTAAGTGATACACAAAATGGTGAGAAAATATTTTTGCCAAAAGGTTCATTTAAAACAAAAAGTCAAAGCTATTCCTGGACTGAAGATGAAGTTAATCGTAATGTGAGTTTATTTCATCAGTTTAATTTTTTAAAAATATTTATTTACGTATCTTTTACATATAACTTAGGCCGCATTATCACCTCAAGGTAGTTGGGGCAAGGATCGCATCGAGGAAGGTCGTAGACATTGTGATCGATTAAGAGATCTTGCTGCTTTAGCAGAGAAATTAGGCTGTAGCCCCGCGCAGCTCTCTATTGCTTGGTCACTTAAACATGAACCAGTGCAATGCTTACTTTTGGGTGCTACATCAGCAGAGCAATTGCATCAGAGTTTGCAGTCTCTGCAGGTAATATTCTCTTTATAATAAGAAATTTATAAACATTCTTTTTAATTTAAATAATTTAAACATGTACATATATCTACACAGATGCTCTACATAGAAATATGTATATATTTAGTTATAGTTTAGAGGTTTAATTTTTAAATTTGTAACACTGTTTTCAGTGAGAACCATAACAATTGACTGGTTTACTATTTTAAGTTCAGTACGTTTCGGCACTATGACATGGCTAAATTTTGATGTACTTTAGAGACTGAAGAACTGATTGACTAATATTTTTTCAGAGATATTACTAATCGGATCATTACGGCTATTGGATAATACTAAAATTCTATAATTAAAAATTTTTTTATTCTCGAATTAAATACTGCTTATGTGCAACGTTTAAAAATAAAATGTTTGAAGAGATCATTATATAATTATATATAACATTATATATTGGAAGAGATCCACATAATGCTCCTGTGAATGAACCTTTACAACCATGTGATCTCAACCCTCAAAGTCGGAGGGTTGAGATCGCATTGTCTCTGGGGATATACAGAGACCGTATGCCTTTATACGGTCTCAGCTGCTCGAAGTGTGTAAGGTATGCACTTCCAGTTGCTTTTCATTGACAACATTGAATCATTATCACAATATTGAAATAAAATATTGGAAGAGATCATTATTTCAGGTAATGATCCTGTGAATAAATATTCACAATTATGTGATCTCAACCCTCTGACTTTGTTTTCTATAGGGATATATTAGGTAGCTACGGCTCTTCTCTGAATCATATTCAAATATTAACGTCATCTCTTCGAAAATGTCATTTTTCTTGACAACGTTTAAGAAAGTTTCTTCAAAAAATTAATTGGTATCATTTTGCAAGCAAATTTTAGAATTTAGACCAAATAAAAAACATTCTCCGAATTATAAAATTTCATATTATGCATAGATACTATTATTAAAATCATAATTTTTAACAATATGATGAAATATGATGAATATAATGAAAATGGCTACTTGTAATAATTTTTATTAACTTTAATTTTTAGCTACTGCCACGCCTTTCGACAAGCGTTATGTTGGAACTTGAACGCATACTCGAAAATAAACCGGTACGACCGCCAATGATATCAACGTTGGCCCTTCGGTGACAATCAGCGTTCCCCCAGGGCCCACCGAGCCTTAGTGGTGGCGGTCCCTGCGGGGCGGAATCACCAAAAAATGAAGAGGAGGCCTTCTGTGAAGATACCGATGCAAAGGATGCTTCAAAGCAAGGTTTCTGTGTTATTCAGTGACGAAAGGAGTCCTTAGATAACGATAATAAATTTTTGAAACCGATTAGTAGTAAAACTAGTTTAAGTAGTACGACTATGACAACAACAATAAGTAAACATGATCTACAATTACAACAACAACAACAGCAACAAACAAACCAGCAGCAACAACAACAACGTTCTTCATTATTATATAAAAATTTTACTAATACAAGTTATACAATTAATAATATTAATAAAACAACATTAGCCACACCAACAACTTCAGCGACAACATATATAACAAGCGGTACCGATAATGCTACTTTCATACAAATAGATTCGTTAAATAATAATACAAATTCACTTGTTTCGACTACGTTAGCAGCAAATGAATCCACTACCATTGCAATTAATAATAATAATGGCACTATCGATACCACAACAATCGATACATCAATCGATATCTCCAGCACTGCTCAAACGAAAACACAAAAGCGTTGTTCATTACTTAATTTTAAATCTTTCGACTTTAATATTAAATCTTTATATTCGGGATTACGTAGTAGCAATAAAACCTCACAAACGCAATCAACAACAACAATAGCGGGTAATGCAAATGGCAGTAGCGGTCTGATAACAGATACACCGACCGGTCAACGTACACCAGCCGTTAATAATCGTATGCCGCCATATTTAAAAATCGAAGCTGTCGACACTGAAGAATCGGAGAATTTACTTTTAGATTATCCGCAATCGCCCTACTCATCAAGACGCAATAGCTCACAAGAGAATCGCTCTAGTACACAGCTGTTGCATATAAGTCATCGTATGGAAGATATGTCACGTTCACAGGCTAGTTCGCCTTCACCATATTTTCTTTCTCCATATGTTTATGATATGGCAACTGGTGGTAATATAAGACGTTCCTCTACTTCAGACATACAGTGTAAACGCAGCGGTTCTTCAAGTGGCAGTGATAGTCGACGTCCGAGTACTTCGGATCTGTTAAGAAAGGCACGTGAACGTCGTGGTAGCGAAGCTCGTATGGGTCGTAGCGTTTCACATGCAGGTTTGCCACGCGGTGCATTTAGTCATGTACCAGCAGGTGGGAGACGTAAGAGTATGGCTTTTTAAGTTAATTGTAGTTAATGCTAAATAAAAAATAATCTATTTTACAATAAATATTTTTGAAAATCCTAGTAATATTTGGGCTTGAAGTAAAGATTTATTTGAAGATTTTTTTAGTAGATTGAAAATTTTTGAAAGCTTATGGTTTTAATTGGATTTATGGTTTTTTGAGTATTAAAGTCACTAAAATTTATTGTATTTTGAATATATAAATATTTTAAATTTATAAGTAGTTAGTGATTGTTTATTAAAAATTGTGCTTATTAGTTGGAAAATTATTTATATTGTTAAATTTTTTTTAATATAATTTTGTTCTATTATTAACTATATAATTTGTTCATAAGTAGTTTGTTATTGTTTATTATGAAGTGTTATAATTATAGTTGGGCAATTATTTATATAGTTGAATTTTTTTTAAATTATTTTCTCCTATAATGAACAATACTATTTGTTTAAATGAAATAAATTAGGGAAAGTTAAAAATTATACATTTGGGAATACAATCCTGTCACACTGCTATAATCTTGGCAACTGATTTACTCTTGTAATTTCATTTTTTATGACTTTTTAAATAATAACACTATTAAATAATATAATTGCGAGTATTTAATTACATACATTTAAGTGTTTTATTTTTTGATTTTTTGCAAATATTTTTTGAATACTTTATTCACGACTTTTTAAAAGTATGTATTTGTATATAAATAGGTCATTCAATAATAATAATTACATACGTACCTTCTGATCAAAAAAGAACGAGAGGCCTATTTTCGAATTCCCGCGCTTATCCAATCGGTAAATTTTAGCCACACGAAAATATTTCGACTTCTTTGTATAGACACCAAACAAAAACTAATCGTACGATATGCGTTAAACTTTGACAGAATGTGTATAATAGTGTTACCAGCGTGAAAATAAAAATAATTTACCGATTGGATAAACACGGGAATTCAAAAATCAAAAATTAAAGTTCTTTTTTGTTCACAAGGTATGTATCTACTTCGGTTTAGTATTTCTACACTGCCAAAATTTATTATTATCAATATTACGAGTACGAGTGTATGACAGTTATTCTTTTAAAATATATATTCAAATTATTTAAATATAATATGTACTATATAGGTATATAGTATACAGTATAAAATAATGTATAGATAATATATTAGTACGTTCGTATTCATATTATAGATATTGGATATTCAACATAAAATTTATTAATTATTTTATACGTTGAAATGAAATACAGAAATTTATTCAAGTTCTAACGTGATAAAGATATTATTTTAAATATAAATACGACATTTAAATAAATATAAAAACAAAAAAATTTTATTTAATTTATTATTAAATTTTTTTTGGGTAACCATGTAATAGTTTTGGGTATTACTAATATACACTACTAAGAGTTCTTAAAATAATATTTGAATTTAATTGCTGATATAAAATATTTAAATGCAGATAGTCAAATTTAGCTAATATTTATTTAAATAAAAGACTTTTGGTGCATTAATTGATTTCTTTAGTACAAAAATAAAATTAATTAAATTCATTACTAAGCCATATATATAAGTTGTCTGTAAGTTGTCTATTAAATTTTGTATACTAATACGTTTTGCTTATATGATTAATATGAATTAGTTCACTTTAATTTAGAATTCAAATAAAATTTTATTCAAAAATTTTTTTATTTTACAAAACTATTTTTATTTATTATCAATTATTGTTAAAAGATTTATTGGTACAGAATTTATTTTTAATTATTTATGTATATATATACAAATATATATATTGACCTGAAGACGCCACTAAGTACACTAAATTTTCAAAATTCGGGTGTTGTTTTAAATTTATTAAAAGAATAAATAAATATTAAATTTGTTTGGTCTAGTACTTATATAAATTTAATATCTAATTTCATAAAACCCTATAGGTGCTCTGATTTATAAAAAATTAAAATGTTTATTAACATTTTGTATTTTATTTTAAGCTAGAAATTTAACAACAATCTCATGATTATGATTGTAAAATAATAAATAAATAACAATACTAAATAAATAACAATAATAAATAAAAAACATTAAGAAAAAAAAATTTACAATAATAAATAATATATTCGTTAAGTCCAGTACCTTATGTTTATGTTTTTATTTCTAAAAATTAAAATTATTTTAAAAATTTTTATTTTATTTCAAAACTAGATTTTTAACAGCAATCTCATGATTTTATGAAACTAGATATAATAAATAAAAATGTAATTCTGATTTCTACTTTAAAATTAAAATCTGTAGCAATAAGTCTTTTGAAAAAAATAAAAAATATATAAATAAAAAAATTTTATAAGTTTTATATTAAAATTTGTTTCGATACTCTTATATTTTACACATAAAAACCTTTATCTTTTTTATATTTATCACTAAAAAGTTTATATATAAAAATAATTGTCCCAACAAAATATTATGCTTTTAATAAATATTATTCAAATATTCAAATATTCAAATATTTGATTCAAATATTTGAAAAAAAAATATAATTTTATTTTCATTTTAAAATTACAAAACGTGTAATTAAAAATTTTATACTAAAAAAATCTTCAAAAATATGATATGGCTTATATGGGTTTAGAAATTATTTTATAATCTTGCCATAATTAATAAGAACTTAAAAAAACAAAACATGAAATTTTACGAATTAAAATTGCATTACAATAATTTTTAAATTTAAGAATTAGTATTTATAATAGAAAAAAAAATAAATTAAATCACATTTTCCTATAATATTTAATAATACGAATAATGACGTAGTGAGGTGGAGAGGAGTTTGTTAATGTCTGGTAACGACATAATATTTTTTTTATATATTTAAATGAAAAACAATAAATGTTAGAAAAAGTATTTTTAAAAACATTTCAGTTCGCTAAAAATTAACTGCTTTCGTTGAATATTCCTGCTCTCCTCCCGAAACAACCAACAATTTGTTAGTTTCAGAATCTATCTAATCTTTTTTTGCATTCTAGAATTTAAAGTGATACATTGTTCAGTGAGGCTAAGAACAAGCTACCTACAAATGAATTATTTTTGAATATTATGATTATTAACTCATTTTTATTTATTATTTAAATATACTATTAACATAATCTATTTATTTAGTAAAAATTCGGCAAACTCCCAAGTTTAATATTACTGAAACTATATCTACGACATCCTCTTTATTCTATCGTCTATATTGTTATATTGCTATATATATAGAATAAATAAGATGACATATCGTCTATATTCCAATATAGACGATAGAATAAAAAGAATGACGTAGATATAGTTTTAGAAATATTAATTTACGTTAGATCGTGATCCTGAAAATATTAAACGTTGAATTATTTAAAAAAAAAAGGGACCTATAGCCGAATTAAAAAATATATAAAAATCATAATATATATAATATATAAAAACTACTGAACAGAATTTAAAATTTTCTTAAATACTGATTTAAGATAATGTTTACCATGGAGTCGGCAAAAGAAGAAAAACACAATAATAATATACATTTTACAACGCTCTGTAGCAGTCTATGGATGTAATTGACAGTTTATATTAGTTCAACGTTTTGAAGAGATTCAAATACGTAAAACCTCATAAAGCATTTAAAACAGTGTCAATGAAATATTGAAGATAATGACTGTTTAAAAAAATATTTAAACAAGAGAAGTTTATTTATTTTTGTTTAAAAAATGGAAAAATAATGTTAATTTTTTATATTGCAATATAGACGATAGAATAAAGAGGATGACGTATTAATATTATTAGTATTATTAGTATTAGTATTAATATTATTGGGAATGAGAATTTTTAATATATGAAATTTACATATAATATAACAAAATCTAAAGAGCGTCTAAAAACTTTTCCATGTCGATTCCTTACTAAATATGTAACGCCAATAAAAAGATTCTTATTTTTAAAAAAAATGTTGAAGTTTTGATCGATATGTTTGTAGGTTTTATTCATTAATATATCAGGTCTTAACATAGCCTCAAGATCTGTTCGTTATTATTTATTTGTTATAGGAAAATGTTTTGAAATGTAATAATAAATTTGTTCTAAAAGACAACATTACACGTTACCATACAGACTGTCTAAGAACTTTGGCTTAATAACATAATAAACAATTAAAATATTTTCTTTAATTATTTAAAACAACAGATGGAAAAAAATTTATATTAAAGAACACCGTTACAGCAATATTAGAATTTTTTCTTAGAATTCTCATATCAAGTAAAATCATTTAATTATATACAAACATATACGCATAGTTAGTAGTTTGAAAAAATCTAATATCAAAATATTAAATTAATAATATTAATGACGCATAGTATATGATTTTATTATGAACTTAATTAATTAAACAATAAAATTGTGAAAAATTGCCTTTTTTTGAAGATTAGAAAAAATTAGCATAGTAAATTAAAATTTAAATAAAATAATTATTTAATATAATTAAGATACATTTTTGCTCCAAATACATATACGTACACAATATACAAAAGAAAAGGAAATATGAAAATAATAAATTTATATAAAAAGCATATGCAAAAAAAAACATGAAATATAATTATATATAAATTAAATAAATTTAAAGCAAAAAAAAAAATTAATAAGAAAATTTATTTCAATTGTAAAAAATAATTAAAAAAGAAAATATTCTTTCTCACATACGGACTGTGATTTCATGTAAAAAATTAATAATAATTATAATTATGAAATATTTAGCGAATACTATTAATTAGTTAAATAAACTTTATAAATAAACTTATATGATATAAAACAATGTAAACAAATTTGCGTAAAGAGGTATAGTACATATAGCTAGTTTAATATATAGTTACATTAACTATTACAATTATTACAATAAATCGTAGTAAAGAAGGTAAACTTGTAAAGTAATGAATTATATATATATATATAATAATTAAGTAAACATTTAGAGCTACTCTGCCTTATATAGTTAAATTGTAATGAGTAATTAAAAATTAAAATTATTTGTTTAATTATATAAACTTAAATTAATCTTATTAAATTCTTTATCTTTTCTTTCAGTTCAAATTAAATTTACTTTTTTAATTATTAATCCGTCCCAAATTGTAGTCAACGAATTTGCTTACCGAAATCGAATGATTTTTGAAAACATACAAGTCCGATGAATATTTTACAACATAGACTATCTTCAACGTGGTCTACGTAAACTATATGATTTATAGCACTATTGTCAAATAAATTACTAAAAAAAGATATATCCCATAACAAAATGTCAAAACACAGAAAAATTTTAGCGAAATAATAGGTGAACCTAACTGAGGTATTAATGAGTGATGGTAAACGTAGAGCCATTAAAATTAAATCAGTTCAAATATACAAATTATAAATTATTTTATATAATATTAAATAAATTTCGTTTAATTATACTATATTTTATGTTTTTTTTTAATTAAAACTTGTAAAATATTACGTGCAATAAATTTTTTATAATTAGAACGATCACTATAAGAAATACAAATATAACCATATATAACAATTAAACAAGGTAAATAAAAATTGTATATTTAAATATGAAAAATTGTCAAAAGAGGCTATCATCTATATTAGAAGTATACCCGAAGGTTTTGAAAATATTTATTTTTTATATTATATCCAAATTTATTGTAAAAACTTTTATTACAAAAATATTTGCTAAAAATATTACCTCTTTTTTAGTGCAGCAACCAAGCACTTTGGTTACACATTAATTTTTTTTTATTATTTCATTTTCAACGTGGATTTATTTTCTTTAATTGTATCTATAAAAACTTAAAAATATTTTCATTGAATATTTTTAAGTAATATCTGCTAAAAATTTCTTAACCCAGATTTAAAATGGACCTATAAACATTCGTAGAACTTTCTACTTAGTATACTACTAAGTACTACTTTCTTTCTATTTAGTATATGCTCAGTAAAGCTTTGATATAAGGTAATTTAATTAAAAAATAAAAATCCTGATTTTAAGAAATTTAAATTAGTTTTAAAATTCATTAAACTAACTCAAATAACTATTTACTTTACTAAAAATATTGGCTTTACCAACTCTTTTTAAAATTATTTTATTTAGCCATTAAATATATCAAAGTTAGATACTTACATTTCTTATTATGTCTTAGGACTATCAATATTTAATTTTTTTGTTTTAATTACTTAAATGACTGACATTTATTTATCAATTAAGATTTTTTATTTTTTCATAATGTCTTAGGGCTATCATTAACTAATTATGATCATTTTCTGCTAGTGATGCCCCTCGAAGTATATATAAAAAATTAGCCCCTCTAAGTATATATCAAAAAATTTGCCCGTCTAAGTATATATAAAAAATTAGCCCTCTCCTTTAAACAATAATATATTGTAAGAAATAATACAATATAGAAGTTGACAAACTATTGACGATGCTATAGTGTGTTGAAATAGAACAGAACAGAACAGAAGTTAACAAATTCTAGGTTTCTAGTAAAATAAAGTACTATGGTAGATCTTTAATGCTATAACTAACGCTAACCGAACAGAAAATACTTTTATTTTTCGAACAAAAGTCAGTATTTCTTTTGGTAAGGACTTCCCAATGTCTTATTGGAAAAAAGTTTTTGACCTAGTACTATCTAAACCCTGATTAAAATCAAACATAGAAAAATAGTGACTAGATATCGCTTTTATTTTTAATTAAAAACGCCATTCTATCAACTCACATAAATCAATCTTATTGAGTTGCGAAGACAAGATAAGATGGCCCGATAGATAGATAATCCAAAGAAACTTTATTCGACTAAGCAGGAACGTTAAATTTTTTTCTTAGTTTATTAGGAAAATAAATACATAAATAAAATGTTTATTTTTTATTTTTTAACTTATTCACTTTGCCCATCGATCGCGTTCTTTTGAGAAGCTATTTCGTTATTATTGCATGGATGGTAATTATTAGTTAATGATAGTTCGTTGTGGAAGTTTGGGAAGTTGCCTTGTATTTAATAGGACGATCTAACTTAATCTTCTGGTTAGCAGAAGATTAAGAAGAAACAGAATTTTCTAGTTTATTAGAGAAAATTAAATAAATAAACATTTTTTTTAGATTTTATAATTTATTTACTTTTAGATTATCGGTCTTGTTCTTTTAAGAAATCATCTCGGTATCATTTTCTGGATCTTAAAGTGAGAGAAGTTTAGTACCACGACTCATTTGTATCGCACATAAATTTCTTAAAAAAACAAAACGAATATCATTTACCTAACAAAAGTCAGATTATACTATTATAGTATAATATATTAATATAATACATAATATATATATATTATAATACATAAAATAATAATATATATAAATTAATATTATAATATATATATATATCATAACATATTAAAAAATATGTAATAATATGAAAATGTGGCGTCCACGTGGGGTAAAGTACTCCGACCTTTATAGAACTGTTGTACTACAAACTGTTCTCAAAAGGAAGAGCTAGGGTAAATACAAATAAATAAGTGAAGATTATAATAAAAAATGCAGGCAGAGGAAAAGATCAATGCGAACTTATTATCGAGAGTAGCTTAAGCGGCTGAATATTTTAAATGAAAAAAAATGCTTATAATAATTAAAAAATCTCAAACATTAATTAAGTAAAGAATTTGTTAATATTATAAAAAATTCTGAATAATAGCAATTTGTTAATAGTTATATATAAACACATATTTTAGTTTATACATCAAGAGGAATCGCAGTTTATATTAAAAGTATTATTGCGATGAGTGATTTTATAACAATTTATTATAAATTTATTTTATTTTATTTTACTTATATTTTTTATAAATTTATAAAAATATTATATACTTATTTATAAATATATTCAGTTATTTAATTCTTTTTCAACTTTTTTTAAAATAATTTATTGATTTTCTTTCTATTTCATTATTCTTCGGGTAAACTTGATTCTTACTATTTATGAAGAACATAAAACTGAAGTTTATATATTTAGATATATTAGTATATATAAAACATATTAATTAAACCATTTTAGCCAAAAATATTTCAAATACTTATGTACAACTCAAATAGACAAATTTATTACAGAGCACGAAGTCATAAAATAATTAATTTTTATTTTAGCTAATAATATTTAAAATTACATATAGCTTAACTAAACTGAACTAAAAACTAAAAACCTCAAATGAAACTAATATAAGCAATTTTCAATTTTTATATATAATAAATGAATACTATATATATATAAATACATATATATAAAATTTAAATCGGCAAAATGCTAAAACGCATATTTACTTTATAATTAAGGATACAAAATGAAACCGATACAGAAGCAAGTAACAAGCAATTGAAAAAGATATAAACAAAATTAAGTAAATATACTTATATTTATAAATAAAAAATTTTATAGCTATTAAAATAATTAAAAGAGCAAAAATGAAGAAATAAATTAAAGTGCTAATGGAGTCGAGTATAGCCAATTTGTCCTTGCCATTTACTCAAACAAAGCAAATCATACACCAAACCTTATGTCCTGAAAGCGCATTTTCTATTATTATAATATATTATTCAAAAAAAAATTATAACTAAAATCGAATATTTCTTTGAGAACTTAAATTAAATGAATTAACACTTAAAAGAAAACATATACTCTTATGAAATGATGACAGTAAATTAAAAATATACACATATATAATTATATGTCATATATACATATAATTTATGAGTACGATAGTATTTTCTTATCGAAGCTGGCAATAATAATTGTAGATTTAAACATATATTTCAAAAATATATATAACTCTATATATATTAATATGTGTACATTTTAAAATAGTACACATTATAATATAATTAAAAATTTAAAAACATTTTTACCTAATATTTAAATCAAATATTATAAGTAATGAAATTATGTAATAATTATTTAATAATTAATTAGGAAATTAGCTGAATAAGTTATATTAAAAACTTATAAAAAATTATTTTTCAATTCGATAAATTAAAAAAAATGCTGCATTATTAAAAATTCAATTAACACAAAATAATAAATTAATAAATGCTTAAGAAACCATATATAAAAATATATATAAAAAAAAGTAAAAATTTTTGACTTAATAAAATTAAATAATATGAAAGCAATATACAAATCTGACAATTTTGCTCAATATAAAATATTTTGCTTTTATATTCAATAATTTTTTAGTTAATTGCGTAACTACTTGCTATAATATTTATTTAATATATATGAAAACAGTATTAAGCAGTTTTGGCATTAAAAATAATAATTATAAAATTTAATTAACAATTTAACTCGTCTCGACTTAGGTCTGTAAAGAACTTAAATTTTCGATACAAAGAATTAAAATTGCTTAATTTTTAATATTATTTTTTTATTAATTTAATCATAATTTTAACACCTAAATTATGGAATGCCAAAGTAAATAATTGACAAAAATATTTAAAAGAAATGGTATAATATATGAAACATATATTTAAATAAATTTTATCATCAATTAATTATATTTAATATAACAAACATAAAAACAATTATAATAAACTTATTATCTTTCACTTTCAAGTTGGTGTTTTATTTATTTACTTATATACTATTAGGTACAGAGGCTGGACTGGCGAACTTGTTTCTTATTTGCCCACTTGAGCTAATATAATAAGTAATATACAATTACTTACTATTGATAATGAATCGGAAAAGCAATAAACGATTTTGTATAGCAAACAAAAAAATCAATTTTCTTCTATCGGGTAGTAGGTGTAGTATATTCTTTCTCGAAATAATTGTCTCGGGACTTCGTTTAGGTTAGGAAATAATACTAAGTGGTTACCGTAAAATAATAGCCAGAATAATTATCTTGGAACTTTGTTTTATTAAGGAAATAATACTAAATTATTAAACATATATATTATTATACATATACATATATACGTTTTTGGCTACATATTTAATAAGGTCAATACCTATATTGTTTTCTCAATAGTATTGAACTCATATTTTGCTAACTCCAATCTTGTAGAAGCTTCTACCGAGAAAGAGAGAGAAAGAGAGAGAGAGAGAGAGAGTGAGAAAGAGAGTGAGAGAGAGAGAGAGAGAGAGTGAGAGAAAGAGAGCGAGAGGGAGAGAGAAAGCAATTCTACATAAAATTGCAACACTTGAATGATTCTCTATGTTGCACCAAGTCAAGAAAATTTGTTTTGATAGTAAGTGATCAGGAAGCAACCTCATGACCTAATAGTGGAAGTCATTAATATGCGATTTTTAGAGAATATTCAGATAACAGGGAATATTACTTATATTTGAGAATAGTGCCACAAAACATTCTAATATGAAAATCATACATAAAATTTTTGACAACAATAGAGAAAAATATAGTGGGATGTAGAGAAATAACTTTTAACCAAACAACAGCAGTAACAGAAATATAACTTATGTCTGGGTTAACACTTATAAAATTCTATAATTACCTTGATATTCAAATATTTATTATTTGAATAAAAAAATCAGTAAGTGTGAATCATTTATAAATGCTTGATTTTGTGCTCTGGACCAGTGGCGTAACTACATTTTTTAGGCCCATAAGCAAATTCTAACTAAGGGCCTCCTACTAACATCTTTTTATACCCTTTACACGTTAAAAGAGTGTTAAAAGAGTATATTAGACTTGTCAAGATTTTTTTTAACGCATTAAAAGAAACGTCGAAAATACCATAAAGTATATATCAGTATATATAGGAGTAAGGATGTCTTTATATTATTCTTCCTTTTTTGCTTGTTGAAATGCATATTAGTGACTAAAGCCTAATCTAAACACTAAAGCACTTGATTCAGTACATGATAAAACAAGTGTTTCATAAAAATATGATAATGAGTTATTCAGATGATTTAGGAAGCATATCTTCCTGGTGGAATATATATTGGATTTATTTCAAGAGAGTGTATTAAGGACTCTAATTAGATAATTAGAATTAGAATTCTTGTTGCTAATAAATATCCAAATATTCTAAATATTACTAATCAATATATCACTGAAAAAATTTTGAAATTTGTCATTCAGTGTTTCTTTGTTAAATAAAATTTTGTGGAAATTAGTTTTGTATATTTTTGTGTGAAGTTGGTTTCAAATTTTGTTCTAGAAAGTTTTTAAACAAAACTATTACTATACATAATATTTTAAATATTATCAGTTATATATTCCACATTCCATAACCAACTAAAGTTTGCAAAAGAAGTGTACTAGACAAATAAAGCTATCTTTCAACTTTTGTTTAGATGCTCTGGACAGATTAAGTTATACTACGACCTTTAATAAAGTGCTCTGTTGAGAAAAGGCTATTTCAAGTTCTTAGTATTCTGATTGGACAAAGGTAACACCCAACTTTTAGATAGGTTTTTAGAATGGACAAACGGTTTGTGTATTAAAAAACCTAATTAAATAAAAAATTTGATTATTGAAGTATCTTTAATAATATTTAAGTAATCATTGAAAAAAATTTTAAATTTGTCAATTAGTTTTTCTTTATTAAATAAACATTTGTAAAAACTAGTTTCATTTATTTTTGTGTGAAGTTAGTTTCAAATTTTCTCCTAAAAATAATTTTTTGAGCAAAATTAATTTGTAATATTTTATTTATTATAATTTTATATAATTAGTTATATATTTCTCACACAATAATTTACTAGTGTTTTCAACAGAAGTATTCTGGAAAAATAAAGCCATCTCACAAGTTTTGATATATTGCTCTGGGCGGATAAAGCTATCCAACACCTTTTGATTACAATTTCGGATCGGATAAGAAGACTATTTCAAGTTAAGAATTTTGGGCAAATATGCTGTTCTCAATGGTAAGTAGTATTGTGTATTAAAAACCCTAATTACATAAATGACAAAGCTATTTTTATTATATTCTTGACAGATATATGTTTTACATAGTTAGCATTGATATATCGAACAAAAATTTTAAAATGATTCATTTAGTTTTTTTCATAAAAATGTTTTTCCAGAGATATTAGATCCATATTTTGAAGTTGGTTACAAGTTTTCTCCAAGCAAATTGTTAAGCTTCATTGATTTATAATATTTTTTTCTCAAAAATCAACTGAATAATGCAGCTATATGCAGCAACAAGTCTCTATATAATTACTAAAAGCCCTAATACGGTAATTCACGATGAATACGCTTTGAAGAAAAGATTCATAAAAAAAATATTTGTAAGTACATAAAACAGTATTTATAATCAAATGTTTATCTAAAGAGACTGTAAAATTTAAAAATCTTATAGTCGCAAAAATACCGAGATTCGCAAAGACGCTCGCAATCATAAAAAAAAGTGAAACTATTTATCCCATAATAACTAAGAACATTCATTTAAAAAAAGAAAAAAATTGTTCCCCAATAAAACGAAGTGTCCGAAAAAGAAAAAGAGAATGAAAAACCCATATGCCCTAAAACACGATTCCGCTTGAAAAACAGGTTTATAAAAAAAATATTTGTAAGTACATGAAATAATATTTATATTAAATGTTTATTGGACGGGCCTGTAAAATTTTAAAATCTTATCGTCCCAAAAATAACGAGATTTGCAAAACGCTCGTAATCGTAAAAAAAAGAAAAAGAACTCAATTAATCCATTATAACTAAGAACCTTCTTTCATATAAAAGAAAATTTGAAAAACAAGCGAAAAAGCTGCATGTACTAAAAAAACCTAATAACATCTTTCATAAAAAAAAAAAATTAAAAAAAAAGGTTGCCCGAAGAGAAAAGTCTCCATGTACTAAAAAACCGAATAACACCTAAAAACACGCTCGAAATCATAAAAAAAAGTGAAACTATTTATCCCATAATAACTAAGAACATTCATTTAAAAAAAGAAAAAAATTGTTCCCCAATAAAACGAAGTGTCCGAAAAAAAAAGAAAATGAAAAACCCATATGCCCTAAAACACGATTCCGCTTGAAAAACAGGTTTATAAAAAAAAAATTTGTAAGTACATGAAATAATATTTATATTAAATGTTTATTGGACGAGCCTGTAAAATTTTAAAATCTTATCGTCCCAAAAATACCGAGATTTGCAAAAGCGCTCGTAATCGTAAAAAAAAGAAAAAGAACTCAATTAATCCATTATAACTAAGAACCTTCTTTCATATAAAAGAAAATTTGAAAAACAGGTTGCCCGAAGAGAAAAGTCTCCATGTACTAAAAAACCTAATAACATCTTTCATAAAAAAAAAATTTAAAAAAAGGTTGCCCAAAGAGAAAAGTCTCCATGTACTAAAAAACCTAATAACACCTAAAAAGACGCTCGAAATCATAAAAAAATACGAAACCATTTATTTTATAATAACTAAGAACATTCATTTCAAAAAAAGAAATAAAATTGTTTCCCAATAAAACGAAGTGTCCGAAAAAGAAGAAAAACTCATACGCCCTAAATACATGAAATATATGAAATAATATTTATATTAAATGTTTATTGGACGGGCCTGTAAAATTTTAAAATCTTATAGTCCCAAAAATGACGCGATTTGCAAAAACGCTCATACTCATAAAAAAAGGAAAAAGAACTCATTTAATCCATTATAACTAAGAACCTTCTTTCATATAAAAGAAAATTTGAAAAACAGGTTGCCCGAAGAGAAAAGTCTCCATGTACTAAAAAACCTAATAACATCTTTCATAAAAAAATTTAAAAAAGAGGTTGCCCGAAGAGAAAAGTCTCCATGTACTAAAAAATCTAATAACACCTAAAAAGACGCTCGAAATCATAAAAAAAAATTAAACCATTCATCCCATAATAACTAAGAACATTCATTTAAAAAAAGAAAAAAATTGTTCCCCAATAAAACGAAGTGTCCGAAAAAGAAAAAGAAAATGAAAAACCCATGTAACCTAAAACAAAAATTTCGTTTGAAAAACATATAAAAAAAAGATTTGTAAGTACATGAAATAATATTTATATTAAATGTTTATTAGACGGGCCTGTAAAATTTTAAAATCTTATCGTTCCAAAAATACTGAGATTTACAAAAGCGCTCGTAATCGTAAAAGAAAAGAAAAAGAACTCATTTAATCCGTTATAACTAAGAACGTTCTTTCATATAAAAAAAATTTGAAAAACAGGTTGCCCGAAGAGAAAAAGCTGCATGTACTAAAAAACCTAACAACATCTTTTATAAAAAAAAAATTAAAAAAAAAGGTTGCCCGAAGAGAAAAGTTTCCATGTACCTAATAACAACTAAAAAGACGCTCGAAATCATAAAAAAAGAAAACGAAACTACGAACATTCTTTCATAAAAAAAAACCAGTTGCCCGAAGAGAAAAAGCTGCCTATTCTAAAAAAGCTAAGAAGACCAAAAAAAGATAAATAAATCATTTATCCTATTATAATTGCGAACATTCAAATAAAAAAAAAAAATTTAAAAAAAGAGGTTGCCCGAAGAGAAAAGTCTCCATGTACTAAAAAACCTAATAACACCTTAAAAGACTCTCGTATTCATAAACAAAAAAGAAAACGCAACTACAAACATTCTTTCATAAAAAAAAATTGAAAAAAAAGGTTGCCTAAAGAGAAAAGGCTGCCTATACTAAAAAAATCTAAAGAGAAAAAAAAACCATTTATCTCATAACTACGAACATTCATTTAAAAAAGGAAAAAAAATTGTCCCCCATTAAAACGGGGTGTCCAAAAGAGCAAAACAAAACTTCCCCGAAGAGAAAAAGTTGCCTTTCCTAAAAAAAACTTATGTGCCTAAGAAGAGAAAATACTGCAAAACTGAATCGCTTTCAAATAAAGTGGATCTAATATGGAACTATTTGCGTTATTTTGGACGTAACAACTGTATGGATCTACAAAAATCAATTTCTAAGCTTTCATTAACTTAAAAAAATATTTTTTTGTAGGTAGTTGATATACATACCACTATTAACATCTACCTAGATCGAAAACACTATTAAACAAAACAAAGGGAAAGCACCCGGTGCTGATTTTATTACCACTAAAAGACTTGAAGGTCCGAAACAAGCTATTAGTTTTAGCGAAATTTATTGAATTCCATAACAAGACTTCAGCACTTAACAATTGTATGGAAACTCGCGATCCCGAAGCCAAGTTGGTCCAAAAGTGGACAGTCCTCAAATCTTAACACATATACTTTACCTAGCAACTTCCTACGATTTTGGCAAAAAACTAGTTGCACAAGGTTGAGTCATCAGACATGTCATCACAATCCCAGCTGTCTACTGTAATAAGACTAGTTCGCAAAATAGGCCAAGAGCAGAAACGTTTTTGGAATTTTAGAGATAGATCAGCTGCCGCGATCTCAACTCATGTACATAACCTAGCAACTTTCTACGATTTTGGCAAAAAACTAGTTGCACAAGAATGAGTCCTCAAATATATCATCACAATCCCAGCTGTCTATTGTAATAAGACTAATTCACAAAATAGGCCAAGTGCAGAAACGTTTTGTGAATTTTAGCGATGTCAGCAGGGATAGATCAGCTGCCACGATCTCAACTCATGTAATTAACTTAGCAACTTCCTACAATTTTGGCAAAAATCTAGTGGCACAAGGGTATGATGGCGCAGCAGTTATGTCAGGATGTTTAAATGGAACACAAGCCAAAGTTAAAGAGACTTACCCAAATGCCGTTTTTATTCACTGTTCCGCCCATAGCTTGAACTTGGTCGAAATCTGTAGAGTTCATAGGAGCGTGTAAACTATTTTTTTGTATCATGGTCAGTATTTTATACTACTTTTCACTTTCCACAAAAAGAACACAAGCTTTTTTTGAACATGTGAAATGAAAATTTCCTCATATTGCAGCGACATTGGTCTTCAAACTCCAGAACAGTAAATTTTTTTTTATAGCTTTTTTGAGAGAATTTCGGCGGAACCAAATCAATGGGATAAAAAAAGTATTCTGTGTGTTAGTTGTTCATTTTTTTAGAAAAATGCGACACCCATTTTTTATTATTACTGTTTGCAAAAAATTTAGCTTTTACAGATATCCTTTTTAAGAAGATTTTAAAAGTATTTATGACGAGACGGTGGCCGTTATAAAACCTCCAAATAAAACTCGTCGTTTAGATGGTACAAGTCTTCACAGTCATTTTGAATTTCTGTTTCATCAATAGATACAATTATATAGATACAATTATATCCCAATTGGAAGTACCATTTAGAAGTTTTAATAAACTTCTTTTTGTGGATTTATTAAAAGTTCAAAAAAAATATGTAAAAGTTTTTCCTACTACTCAATTCAGTTATTTAAAAGACCGATGCGGCACATTTTTTGATCTAACTATACTCAAAATTGAGTTAATAACAATAGTACATTCAAGTATCTTCAGGTGTACAAGATACTTGAACATATTTTGAATAATGATTTCAAAGGAGCATTCTCGGATTCTAATAATGCCAGTTAGTACTCCTAGTGTAGAGTGTAGTTTTTCCGCAATGAAAAGAATAAAATCATATTTGAGAAATTCGTTGGGACAATAAAGGCTTTTCAGTTTAGCACTTATTTCAATAGAAAAGGGTTTGCTGAAAAAACTAATACTAAAAGAATATTTTTATAATAATGTTATTGAAAATTTTTAGACGACTGAAGTTCACATATAAGTAATTGAGATCGACAGTGAAAATGGATGTTAATAGGCCTCTAGGGGAACCACATCCTTAAAAAAGGTAACGCACCGCATGCATACCTCAAAGGTGGTGTGGAAATTGCATTTAAAAAGTGGAGGAGCACGTTTTAATTAGAATTCCGTTTTGATCAAATTGTGAACACCCTACCAAAAAGCTGAAGCAACGCCACTGCTCAATAGCAACTATAATAGCAACTATATAAGAATATTTTCAATAAACTCGACCTTATTATTGAATAAGTTGTCATCATAAACCTTTTCTCTATTAGATACAAACACATACTTAATGTTTTCTTATTATAAAACAGATGTGCAGATAACTAAGGACATAAAAAAAGGATTTATCGTCGCGAAAATTCCTAGATTTGCAAAGAGGCTTGTAAGCGTAAGAAGAAGAGCCGCGTATATAGGTAGAATAATGGAGGTTCGATGAGAGTATATTAAACATTATTATTATTAGACATTTTATTATAGATTTTGACTAATTAAATATACTCATTCATTTTTATAAATGGCGTCACAAAAAAACTACACAGAGATAACCAAGGAATATATTTTTATTGGATATTATCTTTATTATTTCGACCTGTTTTTAGAATGAATAGATCGAAAGTAATTGCAAATACTTTAAAATAATTTACTTAACTGGAGAACACATATATTTTTGTTCTACAACCTGAACTATTTATGATGAGATGTATTTATGATGCTATTTACAAATTCTAATTTATTCGTTTACATAGTATAAGTCCAAATTATGGGATATATCAGAATCAAGAAGTGAATGAAACTAAGATAAGTGTCTTCTATTTAAAACAAAAAATAATTTGAGGAAAAATAAATTTCGTAAAATCGTTTTTATTTTTTTATTATATATATTTTAATGAATATCATTCTTTAGATAGGATTTTTAGATATATTTCTAATGATAAAGAAGTTGCCCGACTATTAAAGTAACTCATCAGGTAAGAAGATCCATGAAAAAATTGTAAGCGCCTCATTCAATAGATGAATTACAAATTAAATTATTATTACCTTTCGAATTTTCGATTAACATCCTTAACTCATAGCAAACTAAAAGATGTTGCTCTCAGTTAGAAATATGACTATAACTTTAAAATATTTTTTTCTGCCTTAGAAGTAACTGTACCAATTCATAAAAGATAAAGAAACATAATTTTTTGTCTGGATACAGACACAAGATACAGGAATGGAAATTTGTTCGCTTGGTACAGCAATATGTACCTACTTACAGTATCTAGATACTTGTTGCTAATTATATTACAAAACTGCTACGGGTTATGAATGGTTGTACAAATGAAAAAAAAAAAACAACGAGAATATAGAGACAATTGGGTCAAAATTGACGTGTCAAATTTAATAAAAGACTGAAATCCGATAATGTATTCAATGTCCACTAATTCGTTTATATGTTTTTTTAAATAATTTTTAATATTCTCTATATAAATATATGTAATTTAATATCAATATAGTCAAACAACCATTTTTTCAAAGGTTTTCATAATGAAAACAAACTTAAACTTTTTCCTAATGAGAGACTGAAGCCTAACAACATACGTGGCCAATGTTTTTGCAATAGTTTCCAACATGAAAATCCACACGTAGTTCCAAACACATATCCACACGTAGTTCCAACAAAAAAAAATTTTATAACAGATACTTTATAACGGAACGTTTGGCGGACCCGATCATTTCGTTATAATAACGCCCGACTACAACTTTTTAGTATTTTTAAAACTACTAGTATGTACTCCTAATAAAATCCTTCTTATAAGTCCCAGTGCCAGTGTTATCAACACTCGAGGCGTAATTAGTAGGGTTCACCCGTCTACTATAGAGACTTATATGGACAGCGCTGGGGCTGGTTCTTAGCCGAATAACTATGAAAAATATTTGCAAGTAATCGCAGCCGCACAACTGGTTATTATTAGATTATTAATATATTCTTATGTTTATAACAACTTAAAAGCTTACTATTAATGTACAGTTAAAAGGATATTCAATAAGCTTTACAGTTTGAGTGTCATTGGAAGTACTGAGACTTAATGGAAAATTATTTATTCATTTCTGTCTAGTGTCACCTTAATACTGAAGGCCCAAAGTTGGTACTGACAAGGTTAATGATATGAAGTGAAACCATATTTTGATATTAAACTTGTAGAATACAAGTTAAAACCAAATTAAATTTAGGCCACAACTTTACAATGCACACTTAAGTGTCGATTTGAAACTTAAATAACATGTATGTTTGAATTTTAAGTATTACTTAAGTGTTTAATATCGAACACTTAAGAGTTACTTAACCTAAATGTGCAATTTAAAACTGACCCTTAGCCATATTGAATTGATATAGGTACACAATTTATAACAAATATGTGTTCAATTTTTAGATTTAAATAATATATATTGTATATTAATTAAATTAAATATTATTATATATTAGATATTAAATTTAAATAATAAAAAATTTTTTTACTGTTTACAGTAAAGGCTTTGTTGTTATTTTAAATAAATAGATTTCCATAATCGTACAGTAAGAATTGTCAGTTTTGTTATTGTTTTAAGCAAAAAACAAAAAACAACAAAGAATTGTACCATAAGAAGTGCAACAGTTTTGTTGTTGTTTTAAAGAACAAGCTTTCCATAATTTTACAGTAAGAAATGCAGCTGCTTTGTTGTTGTTTCACTTTTCCTTGCCCGAACTTGCTTTTATCGCTGTTTTTTTTTTGTACTGTCATATATGAAAGGCAAGGGCAAGGTAAACAAAGCCGTTAAATTTATTTCGTACGTTTAAATATACATAGAGAAACATACATAAAGAACATATTATTTTATTGTATAATAACATATACACTATATTTAAAAAACAAAATATATTTATTCACTTACCTTATTTTTAATATAACTCCCAATTTAATATGCAGATGTTATAACGTATAATAACGTATTTGTTTACAGATGTATATAGGTATGTGTATATGTTTACTTACTTACTTTATATTATATTTAGTAAACATAAGCAATGAAAGCTCTACTAACGGATATTCTATTTGTGTAAACAATTTCGCTAAAACAAATTATATTTTTTTTATTATTTAAAACAATTTAACTTTTTATCGAACACTTTTTTCTTGAATGAATAAAATTTCGTAAACAATGAATATCCGCTCTAGAGAGTTTTCACTGTATATGCATACAAATATTTGTATTTATTTGCCGCCGATAAATTATTTTTTAAATATTATTCACTTTTATTAATCACATATTATTTCTTTTTATATAAATATATTATTATATTTCACTAATTTTATAATACTAATATTAAAATAATAATTTATTTCACATTTAATTCCTTTGAATTTTGAATTTTTAACAATATTTTTTTTTTATAAAGACTTCACATATATTTACACACTTTAATTATATTTATATCTAACTCACACTTTCTTTTGCAATAATTTAATTAATTACTTATTATTATTAATAAAATAAATTTTACATAAAAACTGTATTTAATTTAAGAATAACACGCGTCAAACTCACTGATTGCATTATAACTGAAATCGAACTGATCAATCACAGTAAGTGCAGTTAGAAAAATAAACGCGAGCTTACAAACAAGAACGATTTGAAATTGAAACGTGTTTTTTTGTTTATTTTAAGCAACAACAATGACTTACCTTCATTTGTTCAATTTTGAAAGTACTCATAAATTTTTTTTTATACAAAGTCAAAATTGCGAATTTACACTACAAAAAAAAAAAGCTTAAGCATGACTGTCTGAAAAATGCTTCTACATACATGAGTGTATGTAGGCTCAAGCTTGAATTATTAGATTTTATATGATTTAATTGGTATTTAATCTTAATGTTAATCTTAATGTTTTGTTAAAAACGTGAGATATTTTCGTTTATACACATTTGTACATTCGCATAGTATTTTTTTTTCTTTGCAACGCATTTTATTTCTTGAACGTTAATATAATTCCAATATTATAAGGCATACTCCTCATATTAATACTTTATTGTGATAATGATTTATTCATATTTATATTATATACTCATATTATTTATTCATAAATTTCTTATGGCCGTAAGCGAGTTCGAATAAATTGATCGTAAATTGATAGGAAATAGTAAATTATGACGGTATGACAGCGAAAGTTGGTATTTACCAGAATTTCGAGTAGGGTAAATTAGTTGTTACCATTGGAAAAATTTTATAAGATGTTTAATAAATAAATATATAAATTTGAAAACTTTTAATAGAAAAATAATAAATAAGTGAAATAAATAAGTGTAAATAACTGCAGTGCAAAAAATTCTTAAGAAATTTTAATTTACCTCAATTTACTCGAACTCGCACACAGCCTAAATAATTTATTTTACTTCTTGAACCTTACTAGTAATATAACCAATTATTAAACCGCACACTCCTTACATGATATTATTGTGTTTATACTTAAATAAAAAAAATGAAATTATTATAAATTAGCATATATTTATTTTTAGAATATTTAATACTTACTTAATACATAAAATTTTAATATATCATATAAACAATTTACTTACGATTTAGTGAAAACTTTGTTACTTAACTAAAATAAACATAAATTTTTTTTCAGTGTATATTGTGTGAGCTGTGTTCATTGAACGCAATTCAAGCACTAACGACAAAAACAAACTTGCGCGAAATGTCAAAAAAGCTAAACACTGAAAAAGTATAGAAAACAAAATTGAAGTCATTTCGTACTTTTCGCATTGCAAAAGGCGGTGACCATAGTATTTATTAGGATTCCAATCAATTTTGTTTTTATAATTATAATTTTAATATTTTTTGGTGTCGCAGTTGTTTTTTAATACAACAAGATGAATGTGGAACTAACCGAAAATATATTGTTCCGAAGATTTTGCTACCTTGGCTCGTTTGAGGCAGTATGTGTACACAAGAGAAATAAAGACGTGGAGGTAGAACTGTATTATCCCAAATTAAAAGAAATTTGTGAAAAACTGAATGACAAAATAGTTTTACAAATATTGAAGTCTGTACTTGTTGGAAAGAAATTAGTGCGTCGCGATGAGGTAACTGTTAATAAATTATATACATTTATGCATACATACAATTTTGTGGTGTTGTGTATACTTTCAGCCGTTATTTGCATTTGCCACATATTTGAGTTCTGAAGTTGATATCAAATGGAAAACAACATTACGTACATCAATTGCTGAACTTATAACAGCCGATGAGGATTTATTCACATTTGTCAAATATTCTTTTCTCATACAAAAGTTAAATGGAAGAAAAATATTCTCTACAACACATCGTAAAGCCATAGCATTTTGGTACCGTCAACAGACGCAGGAATCACTTAATAATATGTGGTTTCATCATAGGAAATATTGTGGCTTCACGCATAGTGTGTTAATCAAATTGTGCAACGTCACAGACGATGAGTTCCGCTCATATAAAATTTTCTTCAAAAGTTCTGCCGATATAAATAAAGAGACTGCTGATAGTGATAACCAAGTGTTATATCCTGAAAACATTATGCTAATGGCAAAATTACGCACCACACGAAACCCAGAGGAGGCTGCAGAAATTATACAGAAAGCTAACTTCAGTTATGAAAATATTCCCAGCACATTTTTGCAGCATACCGAAGTTTTGCAAGTTTTATTGAAGAGTATGCCTTATATAGAACTGATCAAATGTTTGGCCACATTAATTCGTAATAAGGACGTGAAGTATAAACCTTCAATTAAAATATGCAAAGAATTGTTGGAAAATAAGAAATTGATACATCAGTATGACATACATCCCATTATGCTGTTGATAGAGTTGGATAAATCAGGCTTTCTGAAGGACGTAGACAAGGTTTGTTTTGTAAACAGGTGACTTGATTTGGATTTATATAAAATTATTAGTGAAAATTGGACTGATCGAATAGGACTGGAAGTAGTCTACTTTTGTTCGTTCGAATCCGACAAAAAGGTATAAGGTCGAATAATGGAAAATTGGTCCCAATAATTTAAAAATAAATCACCTAAACGAGAAGGGAATGTGAAATATGTATGTATATAAATAATCAAACTTCCATAGAGGTTTAGAGATCATAGCACATACAATTACCAAAATAAGTCTCCACAAGTCGAACTATTTCTTTATAAAATGGTACTTCGAGATATGTAGTTCATATATAGTTTATATATAGTTATATATATAGTTATGTATATAGTTATATATATAGTTATATATATAGTTCTATATAAATTAATATGCATTCCTTCTTTGTTAGTCGTTTTTTATAACTTTAAATAATATGAAAATGATAATATATAATATTAAAAAAGAAACAACATCAAGCTCCACAAAAAAAAAATACATACAAACAAATAAGATCGATGCTAATACATAAAAATTTTATTTTATTTAATTATAAATAAATAAACATTTTTAATAAACATAATTTTTTCTCAATGCTCTTTAGGAGGAATCGAAGATTGATTTCATAAAAACGGATTTCATCAAAACGATTTATAGGAAATCCTTTGGAGCAAATCAAGCTACTGGTTTACGCATTCATATCACGATTAGTTTGAATAAATTAAATAGATCTAGTAAGTTTAAATTCCATATATGCACAGATTTTATTACTATTTTCTTTCTTTTCTTATTAATTAGGAAAAATACTTTATCTCAAGAATCTGACAGAATACGATGCTGCTATTGCGATTGCCTTTGGTTTCTTTAAAACAGAGCATAATGTTGATGTTTGCTATTATGGTGAAAATGCTCTACAATTGGAGACATTGAGATGGACAAAAGATATGAACATAGAGGATGCTACTAAATTTTGCAGAAAAATAAATGTAGTTACTAAATTTCTATATAGCGTTGTTAAAATATTTATTTATATTTATTTTTTCTTAATAGAGAATAAAAGTTAAACAACCTCTGATTGCACCAATTACACACGCCTTGCAAGCAAAAAATACATACGATCTATTTCTAGTTATTGTACCAACAGGTGCGTTGAGTAATCCAAAAAACAAATCGGACTTCCTAATGTCGAGGTTAAATGCATACCGACAGAAACGCAATGAAAGAGCAAAGTGAGTATTGCATATAATGAAAAACTTTAACATTTAATTCATTTAAAAAATATAATAATATTTAAATAGCTTATAGTCATATATTATTTACTGCATAGATAATTATATGCTATATACTTATAGGTACGTTTTATTAGACTTACACAAAAGGAAAAAGTCAATGCAGTATTCGGAAACACATGTGGAGAATATCTTGGAAATTTGTGGCGTTAATATGCACTCAGTGGATGTAATCAATAATTTTGCATTAAATAGATTTCAATAGAAAAAACAAAAGATAATTTAGTTAAAAAAATTTAAAAAAAAAAGTATTTAATCTGTAGTGCTTAAGAAATTTTAAAATACTTATTCAATTGTATTACTAATTTTGTTAAGCATTTAATTTTGTTTTTATAGAAGATTATATATAGCTAAGTATTTATTATTATTAAAGGATATCTATTGATTTTTATAAATTATGGATTTACAGCTTTTACACAGGAATTTTTGTATTATTACTTATAACAAAACCTACAATAGTTATAGAAACCTCATTAATTAATTTTTTTTTATTTTATTTTAATTGTGAAATTGTTGAGTATTCAATAAACTAGTCCATCATTATTACCCTTTTCCAAATTATAAGATATTAAGAAGCTAATTCTATATATTCATATCATGAGCATGAGCACAGTGCTTTTATCAAAGACATGCATTTTTTTTTCATATTATTTAAGCGATTGGAATATAAAGTAATACTTATAATAAATAAATTAATTATATTATTATTAATTTTATTAAAATGTAATCTCTATTGGGTTTTTGAAATATACAAAAAACCAAGTCGAATGCCTTACTTTTCATGTGCGAATTTATGCGAAATTATTTATTTATTTTATGTATGTGAAATATCGAACAATTAAAATTGAACAAATTAAAATTGATATCAAAAATAAAATAAATGTACTGCAAACTAAAACTTAGAATTAGGCAAATTGTATTTTGTATTTATTAAAAAATTTCGATATAATTTTCGAACTAATCAGTGATAACTCGAATATCTTTACAATGCTGCCAACACACAACACATTATTAAGAATACACTATACAGCATTTTAGACTAAACTTAACTAAAATAAAATAAACAAAAAATAGTAAAATTTTTAAAAATATTTTGCAATAATGAATCTGATTCAAAACAAAACAAAAACAGAAACAGAAAAAAATAGTTCAATTATTATCCATGACTGCCTTTTCAGTAACTAAAATTTGGCAAATGAAATTTACATTTACGGTGCCATTAAAAAATAACAAATATTTAAAATTTCTTTATTATTGTATTTACAAAAACAAATAGAACGAACAATAAATTTTTTAAATATATATTTAAGTTAATATGAAAATTACGAAACAAAAATGAATGTAGAAATTTTTATCAGAAATTTCCGAAAATCTGTGAAAAATGTAAATCAAACGTTGTGATCAATAAGCAAAAATTATAGAAAAATTAATGAAATTTATTTTTATTTTCTTTATGGAAAAATGCTAAAGAAATTCAAAAATAGTACGAAACATATATATACATATATATATATAAATAATTTTGAAATGAAATATTTATACTTAAGAAACTTACAAATTTAAATATTGCAACTGATTGCTTAAACAAAAGAAACCAAATTGTACCTACAAAGCAATACTAAAGAAATATAGCAAAATGAAATGAAATAATGAAATTATTATTAAAACAGAAATATGATATATTTGGTAAAGACTTTTAGTTTATCTATTAAAACACAAAAACATGCTGAACTTTAACGATATTGATATTTCGAATTTAAAATGACAAAATTTTTTTTATTTATTTTTTAATTTTATAATGCATACATATTTATTTAATCAATTTACTTTTAAATAATTAATAATTATAATTTTAAATATTACTATATTTTATTTATTATTTTAATTGCTTATGTTGATTTTTTTTTAAAAATTTTCTGAAGATATATACGTATTTTTATTTTACATTTATTATATTATTTTATACATTAATACATTTAATTTTAATCACATGAAAAATGTTAAAATGTTTCATTAAATTATTTCGTTTAAAATTGTATGTGTAATTTTGTTTACAAAGTAGTTTTCGTGTAATTTTATTTATTCTTAATTTTATTTTAAATGATGATGAAGTAGTTATTTTATATTATATATTTTTTTACGTTTTTTTTATTATTAATGTTTTTTGAATAAAATATTACACATTTTTATAAAAAAATATTTTTATTAGAGATATTTCGGACTAACTTCTAAAAACAATTTATTATATATTATTTTATATAATATAATATTATGATATATTATCTACGTTACATATTTTTTTATATTATATATTATTTTATATTATATATTATTTTATATTATATATTATTTTGTTTATACATATATTTTTTTTATATATTTATATTATTTAAATATATATATATATATGTTTATTACATAAATTTTATTATATGCCCCAAGAATTGTATTATAAATTAGATTATATTTTTCATATTTAATATAATATAATTTATGCATACATTATTATTGTTAATTTAAAGGGAATACTTTTTTATTTTTTATTTTACTTTTAATTCCACATAAACTCAATCCTCTTTACACTTCATATTCAAATTAAAAATGTGTAGAATATTTCCATGTTTCAAAAACTAGGTATTATTTTGTTTTTTTAATAATGTTTTTAGACTCCAAATAAATATGATAAACACTAAAGTTTTTAAAAATACTTATTTCTGAAATAATTTATATTTTAATAACATTAAAAAAAAAACAAAATATTTTTGTTTAACTATAAGTTATTGTTTTAAACAATTATTTTTATATGTGGTAATTGCTAAAAGAAATTTAATTTAGAAATTTTAAAATGAATGACTTAATAAATTAATTTATTAAATGTTTTTGTAAGGAAATATAGTTCAGGTCAATTTATTTATAGTTGCTCTTTTATGTTAAATTTGTTGTTTTTTTTTAATATAATAGTTATATTACATCAAAATGTTAAAGAAAAATTATTAATTTTTTAAATAAATTTAAATAATGTTTTTATTGTTTATAGTGTGAGACATTGTGAAATTATAAAATTTAAATCAGAAAAAGTAATTTTTTTGCACGAATTTATAAATTTGTTTAATTTATAATATAAAAATTTTTTCCATAAATTTCATATTTTAAATTTAAACGTAAATAATTTATATATTAATTAATATAGAACACTTTTAAATAATTTGAATTTAGGTTCGAATTCGAACATAGATTAACTAAAAGCACAGTAAATTAATTTTTTAAAATATATTATAAATAATTTATTTATTTACTTATAATTATAAATAAATAGAATGATTATTATTTTTTTATTACAATAAATGCATTTTTTCTTTAAATTAAATTGTTCCAAAATATTTTTTTATATTTTATATATAAATTATTATAAATATATATGCAGTTATTGTATTATAAACTATTGTATAACAATCTGTTATATATTTAATATAGCATAATTAAATAATATATATCAAATTAATAATTTGCGAATAGTTCAGCCTAAAATCGACTAACTGCAAACATGAAAATTCGAAAATAAAAATATACAATAATTTATTTTAAGAAGTCAACAGTCCAAAAAATTTAATTTTCTTAATTTTGAAATAAAAATAAAAGTATTATATTTAATTGCAAACAAAAAACAAAAATAGTTTGAAACCGATGTGTCATGTGATATTTTTAAAAGTAATTATTTAATTATTAAAGTAATTTTCTTTTCCATATAAATTTTTTCACAATAATAAAAAAATTAAATATGAGCAAATAATTTATGTTAAGAAATATAAAATATTTACAGTAAATTATTATTATGTTATAAAAAAAACCAATTTATTTAAACATATTAATTATATTTATCGTTATTTTATCACATTTTATAAAATCAATTAAAAATTTAATTTTTCCACAAATTGATAATTAAAAAAAATTAAATTAATACGAAACATGTATACATTTCAAATATAAATATAAACCGACTATATGTTTATTTAACATTGAATTTTATTATATCAATATAAACGAATAATTTAAATAAATAAAATATAAAATGAATTCTAAATAAAAATGGGGTCAACTCCCAAATCAAAACAAAAAAATAATTATTTTCTTCACTTCAGCCTTTTTCTCAATTATAAAATACATAATTTTTTTTTATTTTAATTAATTATTTAGTGGAATTATTGCTATTAACAAATTTTTTTCCAAAAACTTTTTTCTTTATTTATATATAATATTAAAAATGATATCAATCAAGAAGAACATTTATAAAATTACTAACTATTAATACAGGAAGAAAAGCGATAATACTTTATATATAAGGGTTTCGATTCTTCTCCGATTTAGATTCTTGATAAATATCTTAAACAAAATTTATTGTATATAATTACAATTATTTATTAGTTACTTTAATAATTATTTAAACAGTTTTATTGTTTAGGTAATTTCTACTTTTTAATTTATACTCACATTTCACGATCTGCAATATCCATCGTCAACCAAACAACTATATAAAAGTTTTTGCATGGCACAACGGAATAACAATTTATCTTTTAAATTCATATGTTTTAATGGTTGATGAAAACTCATTAGAAATTCATAGTCTTCATCTTTGTTCTTATCCGTTTGAGATTCTAAAAGCTCATGTTTTTCTCGCTCCAATACCAAAAGGCTATCCTTTTCACTATTCACACATTCTTTTCTGTTCGTTTCATGCTTAGATCCCTTTGATTGCATTGTAATATTATCTTCTCTTTCATTTTCTTCAATATCCGTTTGTGACTCCGAATTCGATAGAAACTCTTCTTCATTAGGTTCAACTTTTATTTGGATTAAGTTCTCATTTGTGTGCTCCATGTATTCTTTAAGTTTTTCGCTATGAGTACCATTTACACTATCGTTTAGTTGGTGGTTGTGGTGGCTAGTAGGTTGTTCTTCTGTTAAATTATATTTTATTGTTAATATTACTTTATCTTTTATAAATGACATATCCTCAAAATATTTCCAAGTACATGTAAAGGGTTTCCCAGCTTCTTCTGCTTCTTTGAGTTGTTTCAATAGTACGCGATATTTATATCGTAGTCTGTTCCAACGGTCTTTAGCAATAAATTCTATGAAATTAAATAAAATAAACCATTACAATGTTTTTGTTTTTGAAAAAAACAAGCCTTTGAGTAATAAATAATATATGTTATAAAAATTAATTAGTTTTTAATCTTCATTGTCATTATTAATTAAGCAAGATTTACTTGGTACGCAGTTTTATTGCAAAAAAGTAAATAGGGTATACGCCTGGTTTTGTACAATGTGCCATTAATACTAGTCCTAACAACCATTTCGAAAAATGTATGTACGACTACATTTAAATAAAGGGTTTCACAAAATTTGAATATTGTAAAAATTTTATTTATATGCAGTTTTATGATATTTCATACAAAATGGATTTTAGTACTAAATATACGGAACATCTTTTTCATACACTATATTGCTATATACTGTTTCTAAAGATATTAACCGTTGAAGTTACAAGTTATTACATTAACATTACAAACAATAACTATACATTATTCTTATCACAATGCGAGGATACGTCCTAATAGTTTTCCTGTTAGTAGAGATGAAAGGCAATTAGTCACCTGAGGCTTCAGTAAGTAGATCCGCCTGCTTCTAAAATTACTATAGGTTGTTAATCGTTGTTTGTATAATCAATGTAAAAATTTGACATAACTAAATTGAAAATTGAGTTTTATAGTTTTAAAACACGATATCACGATATATAAGCTACAATGATACAAAGGTTGTTGAAAAAAAACTGCACAAAATAGCAAAATTAAAAAAAAATTTCTCACTAAATTGAGACACTAAGAATTCGGTGCAATTGATTGAAACTCAGTTTTCGATTATAGATCGTACTTACTATTTACATTCAACTCCATCGCAATGGATTCCCATAGTCTATCCCTTATCAAAGGATTGTAAAAGTCTTTATGTTTTTGATCCCATAAACAACTTTCATTGCGGACGTTTGTAATCAATTTTTCAATATTCATAGCAGAACGTTCGGTTAAAGCAATTATTATTTAACATTTAACAATTCATTAACGCTTGTTTGCAGCAAAATTTACCGTTTAATTTACTGTTTTAAACAGTTTACGCTCCCAATACGACATCCGAATTTTTGTTTTGTTTTATTTACGTGACATTCATTTGACAGTTGCGAGCGTACACTTAAAAAAATAATTCAAAAAATTTAAAAAACTTTAATAGACAGAAATTAATGGTATACTTTACCTTCACAGAAATAGTTTTATTGCAAATTAATTAATCACCATTTAATTATTATAATTTTCCTTTTCATATTTTCAACTTTCTTTATGAAAAAAAATTTAATATATTGTGCGTATACATAAAAATGTACGTGTGCACTAAAATAAACCAGTTTCTAAATATATATGCAAATATTTTACCATTACTATAGCTACAAAAAACAAAATACAGTGAAAACTCTGATTTTTGTTCGTTTAAGATGTTCTTGGTTAAGCTGAATAAGTATTGTCGTATAATGATTAATAACCTATTTACACCGCATACATTAAGCTACATTAAGATTTTGTTTGTAAGATACTTTTAAGAAAATCATTTACACACAACTCATAAATTAATTTAAATTTTGTTTTCGTATTTGATCCCTCAAATAAAAATGCTGAACGTTGCATCTAATTTTTATTTTGCTCTAGTTTATGAAAATTACAGTAATTTTATATTATGAGACTTAAAGTAGATTAAATCAGTCATGTACGTTGTCTCTCTAAACTAGTTACAAAATTATAGATTTGCCTATGCAAATTTAGAATCTGCCTATATGCAACACTGCAAATATCGTAATATATCGTAATTTTTTTTAACGATATTGAAATAATTATAATTGAATTATCAAGAACTTTTTAAATATACATAAATGGGTGAGAGAAATATGACGGAGTAAGTGAAGATTTTAAATTTGTATTGTAATAGTTTACGGATTTTTCTATGGATATATTTGATTATAAAAAATTATTTCCTCAAAAGCAGTATCGGCTTAATAAAGGTGTGTTAGAAAAGTTTTCATTGAGGATGTATATAATTTAACCTACAGTACAATTATAATTTCTTCTTTAACATTTTGAAACTATATATTTGAAAGTAAATCGAAAAATCTATACTTCAATAAAATCAACCATAAATTCTGTACAATATAAATAAAAAAATTTAGTCAATATTTTATTATGTATATAACTATGTATATAAAAATATTACAAACAATTTTTTTTGTGTTCATATTCTGTTTTCTTTACTCAATTAGTGTTAATCTAATTCTATAAATTTATTGAATTATTTCCATTTTCGTTACTCATAGAATTAATTCCAAGTGTAAAACTGTTTAAAAGTGCTTTTAATTTTGTACAAAACATACTTTTAGTTTGTGGTCGCATAATTTTTAATGGATGTCGAAAACTCATTAAAAAATGATAATCGTCATCATATTGATTACTGAGTTGAGATTGCAAAATATTAAATTTTTCTTGCTTTAGTTTAATATCTTGATTGACTTCTTCTTCAGATACTTCAGATAGTTTTTCCAATTCATTTTGATAAGACATGCTGTGTTGTTCAGCTGCTTCTTGTTCTTTGGAGTGTTTTTCACTTTTAAACACTAAAATGTAAAAAAACAATAATTTATATAATTTACTTTTATGTAAAGATTTTTAATACTGTGTAATTTTTTTTTTTTTTTGGTTAGTATTATATAATTACTTTATTGTAAAGAGTTTTCAGTTTAATTCAACAGGATTTTAAATATTAATAATTATTTTTTTTATATAAGCATAAAGAAAATTAGAAAGCAATTACTCTACTCAATCTACTCAAAATCGTTTATAATCTCAATACCATTATATATATGTTATCACGAATTATGAATATTTGTTTATTATAATTAATGATCTAATTAAATAAATTGTGTACATATAAAACATACTTTTTTTGAACATTCACTTATATGCTTAAATTTTTTTTGCAGTGTAATTTTTTTGACATTCCTTTATAAACCATTCATAACAAACATGTTGCAGTTAAAAACTGAAGAAATGTAAAAACGTTTGTTTACTTTTGCATGCAAAATCATACATTTTATTATCTTACCAAGTTTTAAACGTTTTTTATTCAATTGTTTATTTCGTTTATATAAACGTTCCACTTTCCTTTGATATGACATATTTTGGGCTTTTAATTTTTTTATATTCATATGTAATTCCTTGTTTTCAAATTGAATCCTTTCCTCAACATCTTCATTCAAAAAATCACTCTGCATACATTGAATATTAGATTCATTCTCTACTTTAACTCCAATTTCAGAGAGAAAAAGTGAAGGCTCTGCATCAAATAATAATCTTGTTTTCCCAAAACAATTTTTTTCAAAATGTTTGGCACAAATAAGTGGTTTTTTCAGTGTTGATATTGTACGATATGAAGAACTGCATTTCTCCAACCATCTGTCATATTTCATAGTTCCTGGCTTAGGAAACTTAAAGAACTTTCCCTCCATTGTATAGCAATTCTTTATAGAACATCTTCGTATTTTAGTCATTGAATAGAATAATTGTTATGATTCAACACAAAATGATTAATAATATTTTACTGAGCAGTTCAAAATAAGAGAAAAACACAAATACTTCATATAATAAAGGTAGCGACACAATGAATTATTAATGAAACGTCATTTCAGTCCAAAGAAGATCCCAGTAGAAAAAACAATATTGCTGTGTAAATAAATTCTTAGGATTTGTGGTAAAATTGAATTTTAATGCATTAATAGTATTATAACATATTTCCACCACTGGTAATAATGCTTATGTTAATAAAATCAAGATTTAATTGTTTCCATTGTCATAAACTGATTTATGCATCTGAAATAATTTGTTTGTTTACATTTTACATAAAAAGCAAATGTCATAAATTTTTAATTTTGTTGACTTCCATTTAGGAAAATTCATTTATAAAGCTCTGATTCGACGTTCTTCGCCTTAAATCAGTTGAATTATTTATGACCAAAACTACCTAAATGAGACAATTGAAAGTTTGGTGTTAGTTTTAAACAACAGGATGTTGTGCGCACTAAACGAAAATCAACTAAACGAAAAACTAAATATTTGGGATGAAAAGAGAGCAGATGTTATAGATATTTTATTATTTTGTAAAACAAATCATTATCGTAAACTATATTTAAGTATCCGAACATGATTAAAAATAATCATTTCAAAATCAAAATATTTGAATTGATAGAATGATCATAACATATAAATTATAATTTATACTTTTTATTATGGAATATTTTTCATAAACGTTAAATTATATATATATATATATATATATATTTTGTTCAAAAAATCTATTGGGAATATAATTAAAATGAAATAAATAATGAACTCATGTATTATTATTAATGCTTATTGATATGGAATATTTTTAATATATATATAAACGTCACATGATATATATAAAATTTCTAACCACAATAAATAAGATTTTGTAATTTAAATTTTTAATTTCACATAATTTATTCCGATAGCTTATATACTTTGTTTAAAAAATCAATTATTATTATTATTATGAAAATAATTAAAATGAAATAAATGAGGAACCTATGTATTAATATTATTAATGCTTTTTGATATGGAGTATTTTTAATATATATATAAACGTCACATGATATATATAAAATTTTAAATCATAATAAATTATATTTTGTGATTTAAATTTTTAATTTCACATAATTTATTCCGATAATTTACTTATAAAAATTTTGTTTAAAAAATCAATTGTTAAAATAATTAAAATGAAATAAATAAGGAACATATGTATTATTATTAATGCTTTTTGATATGGAATATTTTTAATATATATATAAACGTCACATGATATATACCAAATTTCTAACCACAATAAATTAGATTTTGTGATTTAAATTTTTAATTTCACATAATTTATTCCGATAGCTTATAAACTTTTTTAAAAAATCAATTATTATTATTATTATTATGAAAATAATTAAAATGAAATAAATGAGGAAGATATGTATTATTATTAATGCTTTTTGATATGGAATATTTTTAATATACATATATACGTCACATGATATATATAAAATTTCAAATCATAATAAATTAGATTTTGTGATTTAAATTTTTAATTTCACATAATTTATTTGGATAGCTTATATACTTTGTTTAAAAAATCAATTATTATTATTATTATAAAAATAATTAAAATGAGATAGATAAGGAACATATGTATTATTATTATTAATACTTTTTGATATGGAATATTTTTAATATATATATAAACGTCACATTATATATATAAAATTTCAAATCATAATAAATTAGATTTTGTGATTTAAATTTTTAATTTCACATAATTTATTTCGATAATTTACTTATAAAAATTTTGTTTAAAAAATCAATTGTTAAAATAATTAAAATGAAATAAATAAGGAACATATGTATTATTATTATTAATGCTTTTTGATGTGGAATATTTTATGTTAGAAAATGTTAGAATATTATAAATAATAATATTATACCGTTAAAGGATATAAAGGATCGAGATCTATATCACTAATGGCATCACTGTTATTATCCAATTGCATTAGAATCTGATTTATGATATCAACGGATTCATCGCTATCGTCAATTTTATCCAAATACATTTGACTTGTATTTAAACTATTATAATTCATTTCATCACTCTCGGGTTGACTTGTTGTAGTAGATTGGATCATAGAATTAGAGGAATTTTCTGAAACATCAACATCAGAAAATTCAGCTTGAATTTGTGACGATTTATCATCTGATTGTTGTACCACGATGTGTTCCGTTGAAATTAAACGTGAGTTGAAATGTGGACAAGATGATTTATAGGGTTTTTCTGTTTCTAATTTAAAGTACTTATAAAATTCCATTTGAAAATCATTTCGAAGTGATTTCATAAGTCTTTTAGAAGTTAACACTATGAAAAAATATTTAAAAAAAATTAATTATTACTTAAATGATACGCATTTATTATTTAAAAAAAAATACACAATTATTCTTTAAGGAAATACTTACTTATTACTTATGTATATATTTAATAGATTATATTAGATTTCACTTCATAATAGCAGAGATAACTAAATCATATTGATATCTAAACCACCAAAAAATTTTTTAATATTTTCTGTACAAAAATTATTTGATTTTTTTTAACAAAAATTATTTGATTTATTGTGTTTTAAAAATATATTCAGGTAAAAGTCTTTTTCAGCTATAAAATTTTCACTAAAGTAAATGTTCGCTTTCTCTTTCGTATTCAAATATGTGAGAGAAAGTTCTTCGAGCCAGAAAAAGCTTTCTTCAAATTGTAAACTATTTGCAATGAACTATCATTAATACAAGATATGAAAAGTGATGTAAAATATATAACTAGAAATAACTCCCAGCGAACATGACGTCACTGATCAAATAGTTATGCTAATTTTTGGAAAATATTTTACTGTAAAGACGACAATGTAAATTAAGCCTAACTGCTTAGTTTTACTTAAAGTCAGATATGTTATTTTATTAGCGAATATCAATATGAATATATACAGACATGTTCTAGATTATGAAGATAATTTCTATTGATTAAGATCTTAATCTAATATACATTTTACTTACCTTCATGTTTATTTTGCTGAAAATCTTCGAGGTTAACTTGTGTCTTTTTATCGTTTTCTACCACCAATTCAATTTCGACTTTGTTTGCTTGAATATTATTCTTCTGAATAAGTTCAACTAATTCAGTTTCATCAACTTCAATGACTTTATCTGATGGAACCCATAACTTAATTTGAATTTCATCGATTTCACCTACTTGGTTTAATTCTGTTTTTATTGGATCTATTGGATTTATTGAAGCTATTTTCTCTGAATCAGAAGAACCTGGAATTACTTTACCGAATTCATTTTCATCGATTTGAGTAAACTGATCAGTTTGCCCCACTACACGAATTTGAATCAATATGTTGGATTCAATCTTATTGGCCTGAATCACATTGTTCGATTCGTTTGCATTTGATTCAGTTTCATTCAATAACATTTCAACATCCGAAATAAATTCATTATCTTCCGTAATTTCATGTGCTTCAGCTTCAGATACTTCAATTATTTTTTCAACATCAAATTCGTTCTCCGTATCACTTTCATTCATTTGAATTACTGTTTTAAATGCAATTCCATTCGATACACCATTCGATTGATATGATTCATTTTCAAACCGGATTTCTACATTATCATCATATCTCAGACGTTCGGTAACTATCTTTTCACCATTTCTCTCTTGTAGTCTTTTCAGACGCTTTTGTGCCTTCAAATCAAAATCTTTTTTGAAACATGGTATAGCTCCATATTTTAAACGCTGCATTCTACTTAATCCTATTATTTCAGAATGTTTAATTAATACATAATATAACCAAAACCACTTGTCTTTCTTACCCATTTGATATCTTATGCTCACATGAATATCTTCTTTTTGGAAATGATCACTGCACATTCTCCAAGTATTTTCATTAAATTGTTTTGGCGACTGGCAAAAATTTAACCACTTTCGCAAAAGATATCGATCTTTTGGAAAGCTGAAAAATGAACACTGTTTGGATTTTCTGGTATAATTGTAACAGTTCCAGACAGCGCACTTCATTTTTATGTCTTATTATTTCTGTAATTTAAACGCCTTTTAAAAAAAATATTTTATTGCAATTTTGCGAAGCAATCTATACTATGATTCTCCGTTATTTTCGCCGTTTTCACGAGCACCAGTGACGTAGCAGACGCAACAATTTCGTTTTTGACGCTCAACACATGCGATATATGCAATCTTTTGTAACGTTTATGAAATTCTTATATGTACAATAACATAGATTCTATGTTTACACTATCAATTTATTTTTATATTGTTACTTTTGCACAAATTGTACGATTTTTAAATAATAATCGTATAATCCATACATTTAGGAACACAAACTTTTATTTTTCTACACGGATCCGCATAAAATAAAATGGACGCTTCTTTTTCAATTTGCTTTCACCGTTTTTTCTTATTAATACAATTTTGTAAAAACCACAACTTCGTAAATATTTTCTCAATAATTTATTTTTCTTTTTTATATATATTTTCAGTATTTTTATATATTAATATTTTTATAGTGATATCAAAAATCGTAGCTTCTCAACTTATTTGTGCTCCGCTGAAACGTCTTTCCTAAAGTTAGTTCTCTACTGTAGTGATCTCTAGTTTGTATGCCATTAAGGTGCCTTGCATTTTAGAGAGTTTATAAAATTCCCGGAAATCATCACTGACTGCTTAAAAACTTCTGAGAAAATTTCCATTAGGCTTTCTGATGCAATGAAACAGATCCCAGTAGGGTTGTTGTTGTTGGTGATACTTAAATGTACCGATCGTTGGTACACTTAGAAAAATAAACGGATTTGTGAAATTAAATTTAAGGACTTTATTATTTCTGCTGTAAGAACTTAGCACAACTGACTAATCCAAAGACTAACACAAAATAATTGCAATGCATAACTTTGTGTGAGAACTATTTGGTGATCTTATTGAGTTTCACAGAAGTCCAAATTGTTTTCTATGGCATTCTGTATTTGTAAATTTCTGTGATCATTATAAGTTTCAAGTTTTAACATTTAGACAAGAAATAAGATATCACGTTTTCTTTTAGGAAAAGGAATTTGGAAGAGAAAGAAAAGAAAACTTTAGAAGTGCATATCTGTAATTGAAAGTGAATGTTCTCTAAGACAGTTTAACCAATCGGTCATTAAATATAATTTACTCATGTGTTCGAAAATGTTTTGAATGACTTCAATGACTTTTCAATGACCAATCGATTCAACACATTTGGATTGATTGGTTGTCATGTATATATCCATGTCTGGCAGATGTCTTCGTTGACGAATTGATCCGTTTTGAACTGTCATACATCAAAATAAACCTAGCTTTTGATAGCATTGATAAATCCAACATACGTATATTTACTTCATATGTTTACTAGGTGATTAGAACTCAAGTGTTTTAAATTTGGGAGGTGATCCTTTTTCCAATAAATATGTCATATTTTATTTGTGGTGTCAGTGTTCAATATAAACCGAGATACAGGTTATCCAATAAAACTACCCAAAAAAATGCAGTGAAAAGACTCCTAATATCATAAAATTGTTTCCCATAATTTTTTCAATGGTGTATTTGGGGTAAGCAGGGGGCTTAAGAGATAGTTTAACCCACATACCTCTAGCAATATAATACATACTACAAATTTTTAATGAATTACAAAAACAATGTTGAAAAAAATATTGTGTGATATATATAATCCCCTCTGGCTATGCTGTTGAATTGTTTGATACTTATAAGTAGAAAAACGGAAAAAACCTCAGAGAGAAAAAAAATAAGAAGAGCAGAGAGTACAGAAAAAAAATATTTTGTCCGGAACGAAAATTGAAAACGAATCGAAAAAAATATATCCGAATTGAAACTATGTATACAAATACAATTGGGGCATAATCATTAATATGCATTCCGCTTCAGTTGACAAATTATTTATAGAAAAAAAATATTTTTATTAAAGGTATTCGTTAGTTATGCTCTCTAAAAGAAATGAACAAAATGATTGCAATTATAAAAAAAACTGGTTTGTAAGAGAATTTACTCGGAACTAAAGCTAACCTCGATAAAAATATCAAAACACTAACGAAATAGCTTCCGTCTCGAAGTCCAGCTTATTAGTGTAAACACAGCTAAAATATAGTGTTTAACTCAGAAGTTCATAGTAAATGCAAAACTTTTTTAAATTATGAATAAATAATTTATTCGAATTAATAGTTTTACAATAACTAATGATTATCTGAGCTATTTGATTAGCTTATATTGAAAATAATAAAGACATTTTAATCATATTTTGCTTTATCCAGTACTTTAATAGTTTTTTATATTTTTTTTTACTTTATACGAATATGGGGTGTTTTAGATTGCAGTTATGTGCTTTATCATTGGAACCGTTAATTTTCATATTAAAAAAATAAACTTTAAACTAAACGATACGTGTAAGATTTATTACAGTTTACACTTAGTAATTAGTGAAAAGTGCTTAATTAAATTAAGTGTTCACACTTAAACGATTCAACGAATAGATCAATAAAACAAAATAGAGTTGCAAATATTATATTAAAAAAAAATTTAGAATTATTTAATTATTGAATTTATGTATTATGTAAAATTTAATCATAATTTAAAATTATTTTTTCCTATATATCTGAAAAAACGATTAAAAATATATAATAAACGGAAAATGTCATACCAACCCATGTTTTGTTTATTTATGTTTGAAATTTATTTATTGATTATATTAATAATAAATATAGTATATGCAAACAACATTGTTGCTATTTTAGAATGTTCTCGTACATTCTAATTCGACATATAAAAATTAGAAAATAAATTTTACTTATATAGTAATAATGTAAACACTTTATAGCATCTGCTATATTTCTAAAGTAGGTATATGGTATAGGGATTATAATTCTTAGAAAAAGATTTTTACTTTTTAAATTAAAATCTTATCCGCCATTTACAGAGTACATTATTATAATTAAATAATATATCTTTTAGTTTTAATACATGAATAAATAAATGTTATTTAAATAGAGGTTTATTTCATTATATATCTAATGTTTATATATTGCTTTCAAATAAGGAAAAATAATAATTTTCTTGACCCCACAAATCAAATAACACTATTTATATAATCTACAAAATTTACTGATTCTTTGTCACTAAGCCGGCTGGTCCACATAAATATTTTCGTTTAGTTGTGAACTGCAATGGTTCGAAACCTAATTCTTCTTTCGGTATACCAAATTCTTTAAGTTTTGCTTCATATGTTGCCAGTAAATCATCGTGAGCCTTTGTAGTGCGCGTTAGTTCATAGCGCATAGTTTCAATCAATTTGTTCTTGTAATCTAACATTTTCGAAACAGTTTCTTCCAGATGGGGTGGTACTTCTCCGTTAACAGTACATTTGGATACTAACTCACGTAGCATGACATCACGTTTCTCAGCATCACGCTTCAGTACTGATATCTTACGTTCAAGTAAAACATTATTGAGTCCTGTTTTCTGTTGTAGTTCCGTCACAACATCATTAAATCTCAGCTTCAACTCTTCTCGCTCCTTTACTAATGTTTCATTTCGCATTAGTAAAGCTTCATTTTCCCAATTGATAGACGTCAAATCCTTTTCGATTTGTTCATTTCGTACCTGTAGACGTTTCAGATGACTAGCGTTTCGATTGAAATGTTCTAATTTGCGTCGTAAAATAGACAGTTCAGCTCTAGCTTCTTCGAGCGGTTCCTTAAGTTTGCGATTTTCAGTTAATGTTTCCGAAGTCACACGTTCGCTACGTTCGGCTTGTTTACGTAGCGTTTCCATTTGTTCTTTCAAGCTGCTGATTAGACCTAAATTGTTCAATGTGATGTCGTTGTAGTAGTTTTTCATATCATTAAACGCTATTTCATGGCTCTCAATTAACCTAGCAAGTTGTGTATTTTTACGTTCCTGCACTTCAGACATTTGTACCTCATAACTAAGCTCGAGATCCCTTTTCAATTGCTGCATTTTTTGCTCATGCAATAAATTTAAATCTTTAGCTTCTCTTTGAAAGTCCAATTTTCTTTCACTGGAAACACAAAGAGAGTGAAGCAAGATGAGAATTTTAGAAATTTACAAATTTATTTTCCATAAAAAATTTTTTAGAAAGGTGCTTTGGTGAAAGGGTCTTTTGATATCTATTCGCTGTTACTATGATTGAAAACTAACCTTTGATATATTAAGTATTCAATTTGGAAATGACGTGCATGATAAAATTTAGTAACTCAAACTCTTTCCAATATGTTATAGCGTAGTATATTGAATCTTTTAACGAAAAATTAATTGAAATGTAATCGATGTTTGTGCTGGTGCCTTATTCGTAAAGTTTAATAGGCTAATAGCATAATGATATAAATCATGAGTTCATTATGAGATAGAATGTAATAATATTTCTCTTGATTTCTTCAAAGATTTAGTAATCTAATATCAAAGATTATAATGATAGCTAAAAAAATTGCAGTTTATACATAATGTCTATGGGAACACGTTTAAATAATTGTCTTAAAATGTATTGATTTATTTGACACTTATAGTAAGGATGTCTTAAAAAAGGCATCGTTCCCTTAAATTATTTTTGACTTACAATAGATTAAATAGGAAAAAAAGATAGAAGGGAATATATAACACCTCTTTTATTTAGCATGTATAAATATAATTTCCATCTAAGGGAACACCTTTGGAAGGTTCTCCTGAAAAACTCTGGGAATGAAGGTGAGGATGTCCAAAAACAGTATAGCTGTATTTAGAAAGCATGAGAAAGGATGTTATATTATAAAATAATATCATTAGTTAGATATCAATTAAGGGAACAATTGGTAATGGGTTTTTAAAAAAAAAAATACTGACTGATCTAATAATGAAGATAGGTACATATGTGAAATAAAGTTTAAAAAAAAAAATACTGACTGATCTAATAATGAAGATAGGTACATATGTGAAATAAAGTTTAGTTTTTAAAAATTTACTTAGGTAATATTATGGATTTAATAGGACGAATAGGAAACCGTGCATGATTTCCTTGAAAAACTATTAGTCATCTGACATTGAAAGTTAGGAAGAATATATTGCACAATCTACAAGGTGATTATCCAGCACAAATAGAAATATATAATTTATACTTCTCTTTTATCTAATATATCTAATCACATATCATTAAATAGTTGTAATAGAAGAAATTGAAGTAAATAAATAAAAAGTTTTAACTAATCTGATTGGATCATGTAGATGAATTATATATAATAATATGTAGTTATACTATCAAAAGTATCAAATATAACATCTTGTGGATATGTAAATAAAACAGTGCTCTGTCATCTTTTACTGTTGATCTTTCTTCGTTATAAAAGGGATAAGTAATCAACTGAACTGCTTGCATTTCCGTACAGTAATAGTTTATGCTATATATGGGGAATATTAAAATGTTTTTAAACTCTTGAATGGAGTGTACCTCAAAAAGGTTACGAAACATTGGGATACAGCTATCTTATGAAATTCTCTGTTATTGAGGGTTAAACTAGGCTTCTGAACTTCAATCTAGATATTTCGAACCCAGATTTTTCAATTTAGAATCGAGTTGGTTTTGTACCAGTGCCTCCGACATTTAAGTATAATTCTATCGAACTAAAGTATATCAGAATTTTGTAAAATTATATATTTAGCCTAAGTAAGCTTAAAACTTGATATAAGCGGTCGTTCAATGGTAGTGCTCTTATGTCAACAAAAAAAAAAAAATTACTACTCACGCTGCATCAGAAATATGAGCCACTTTTAATTGTTGAATTTGAAGTTCATGTAACTCATCACGTTCACGTAAAAAGCGTTCAAATTCTCGTTTGTCTTTCAACAATTCCATTTCTTGTTTGGCATGTTCTTCCTGAGCTAATTTTAATTGTGTCATGGCCTCTGCTCGGACTTCCCCAATTTTATTTTGGCTTTCATATTGCAAATGTTTCATCTGTTGCAAAGCATGTTTTGTTTCTCTTTCAGCCAATTCATTTGCCATCTCAATTTCGCGATCCTTTTCACGTAATTCAGTATATGTTTCATCTACAGGTATTTAGTTTATGGAATAAGATGATCTAATCATGTGGAAGAATAAAAATATATTTTACAAATTATATACTCACCTAAATGACCTCTTGTTATTTCCCAAAATGTACGAATTTTATCTCTTTCCAATTGGAAGTAGTTACGTTCCTCCCTTTCACGATCCAGCTCAGCCTTGAGGCGTAAAGCAAAAGCTTCAAGATCATTTCGATCCATTTTCGATGTATCGACGCCATCGATAAGGACTATGAAGTAAAAAAACAAACAATAATGTCAGTAGTTAAAATACTCATGCTCAGTATTCAATTATTTGATTCACTTTTGGATTAACTTTTGAACTCAAATTTTTACACATCAGGATTCTATAGCATCTATTAATTTCTATAGCATATGGATTTCGTTTTACTAAGAACATACATAAATAATTTATTGTAAATATATTTTTGTTGTGAACAATAACAACTGCTATTGTCGAACAATGTTAGAAAGCAGAACACATATTCTTGGACTTATAGATGAAATGAATAAAGAAACTTCTCGTTCATACCTTTATTTATGTTATCAAATGAATACATTTTATGAGTATTATAATTTATGTTATATTAAAAAAGAACAGTTTGAAATTTGTACCCAATATCAGGGCAACGGAATTTAAATGAAAATTACCCGTTAAGTTTTTGTTCATCTTCTTCTTATGTTCTTAATGTGAGTTAGTGTCTAAATCATATTTACTGAATAAGGTATCTTACTTCTTGGATAATTCACTATAACAAGATCTTCATTGAATTATGATAATAAGTTACTCAGCTGATTTCATACAAGCATAGTTTTAAGCCGAGTATATCTTCCTGATATTTTGAGAGAGTACAGTTTTAAGCATGGGCATTCACAGTATCAAACAATTTCAGAGCTCTATTTTTGTTGATGCAAAAACTATAAAAAGTCGTGAGTTGTAAGAAAAAAGATAACATTTGACTGATTCACTTATAATTTCCAAATGGTCATCGTATATGATTTGAGTTATTCTTGGAATCCATGAGTGCGTCGTTCCACAAAAAAGCACTGCTTGCGTAACTAAATCGATTGAAATTAACTCAGTTGAAAGTCTCATACGAACTAGGTAATAGCTTACTTAGTTTGACCATCAAAGACGTAAGCCGTCCTTGGTCGCGTCCAATACCTTCCGCCAGCTAGTCGGATTAGTGGTTTGCCAACCCAAATCGTAATAACAGACCATAGATCTTCCCAAACTGTTTCTCTCGAATGCTCATAATGCCTTCTCATCACTATTGGTACCTGTCCAGGCCACTACACCATAGAGTAGGACAGGTGTGATAAGAGAATGTAGAGCATAGTCTTTGTTTGTCGAGAGAGGGCTTTATTTCTCAATTACCTAATAAGCCCGAAGTAACATCTTTTGACAAGCGTGACTCTTCATTGAATATTTAGGTTGACATCATTTTTGATGCTTACACTGGTTCCCAAAAAAATAAATTCTTTTATAACTTGGAATTTATAATTGTCAACATAGAGATAGGTCCCAAGTCGCTCGGGAGATTTGTTTGTTGAGTTCATATCTGGTTAAATCAACCAAATTATTTTTCTGAGTGCAGTAGTTTAGTCAGGATTTTGTGAAGGGGCAGATATACTAGAAAAAAACTTTTTTGGGAGTGATTTTGCAGTTCATTACATGCTTGTATTATATATTATATTGTCAGGAAGGAAGAATCTATCTTCCAAAACTCCACTGAAGCTATAAATGTTCACCATTTTGTATTTACAATTAATTTCATCTAGTTTAATTAATTCGCAAACCCAAATGGTGAGTTTAAATTCATCATCATTAGCACCTCCTTTCTTTTCGAGAGAGATTAATTGTTATATACCCACTATTTTCGAGTACAGTATTATTGTTTGTGACCAAACCTCTCACAGCTACAGTGCTATCAAAGATTTATCACTTGTCTTGCTTATGCAATATCATCAAAGTCCACAGTGTATCGTTATCAGAGATTTATCACTTGTCTTGCCTCTGCAACATTCTTACGGGTTGCACATCCAAGTCCTCAGTGTATCACTAGATAGTAGTAATTATTTGTAAATCAAAACTGTGAATTTTAAAATTTCCTCACTATAGCTACGTCTCTTCCATTCGGAATAGATTTCTTGTCATAGGAAATAGAACTCTAAACTAATTATTTCAATTAGGAGAAGGAAAAGGAATTAAGTATAAAAAAAATTAATAAAGAATATTTACTTAAGTAAATGAGTTAATTACTTTAAAAAATATTTTATTAATTAATTGTGTTGTTGAAGACTAAAATGCAACAATACTTTCAAGGATAATGAAAATTTCCACTTGACAGCAATGAAATGGGCAGAGCAAACGTAAAACGAGCTTGGGACCGAACGGCTTGCCGGAAAACTTTTCAGAAAATTGCAACAATTTCTTTCTTCTTCTTTTTTTTTGGTTTTTTTTTTATTATTCTGTGGGTTTTTAAAATGAAGTCAACTAAAATTGCTGGCTTAGAGCGCATAGAGTGGACACAGTAGCAGTAATGGCAGCAGGCAATTAAGCAGCATTCGCAGTACGCAATTTAAGCATGCAGCATGCAACATTTGTTGCATATGGTTTCTTTTATTTGTTGTGAGTGGAATAAATAAATTCATACGGATGAGTAAATGTGAAGTGCGGGTATGGACCTCTGGACTCGTAACTATGCGTGCAATGGTCGTTGGTTGCAACATAATTATTATGACTTAATTGTTTTTGTATTGGACTTGGTAAGAGTTCATTACAAAGCAAAAAACAACAAAAACAAAAACAAAAACAAAAAAAAAAAACAATTAAAAATTGCTCAAAATTTAATGTGTTTTGCAACAATATGGCAGCATGATGCCTGGTAAATGCTGCAAGTTATAATGCAGCTTCGCATAATTTACTACCGCCAAATAATTTTTACGAATTTCGTATTTTGACATTAATATTAAAAATATTTTTAAGTGCAATTTTAAAAAAGGATCTAAGCGGATATGTCACCATATTTTATGCAACACAAATAAAGGCGCTCACATTGTGCAGTTTTATGTGCAATATTTAATATTTATAAGAGGTCCTTTTTACTCTTTTGGTGAGTTAATATGTATGAAACGCATTGCACATATCCTCCAAGGCTTTTAAAATGTCGATAAACTTTTTTCAATGCACTTGATTGCAACAATATCCGCTTTTATGGTAACAAAGACAACGGAAACTGCAATTGTAAGCATAAAATCCCGACACAACGTCAATGCGTCTAAAATAAGTAAACAAAATTTAGTGCTGAATTCCCCATCTATTTGCCATGCATAGGCTGGATAGGCAGTGGACTGAAGTGTTGAATAAAAATCCGCTTAATACAAAAATATGCAAAATATGTTATTTTAAGGACTCAAAAAAGTCGCTAAACCATATAAAATGGTTGCAAATCTTGCAAAACTAAACAAAAGAATCGCTTGACAGCTCAGCACAAATTCGGCTAAAAACTCAATAATTTATATGCACAGCTAATATATTTCATTTATCATACAGCGAAACAGCGCCTTGGGGTTTATCCTTTCGCCGTTTTGTTAGCCGCTTAATCCCTTCGTTGCAGTCGTCGATGCATTCTTATTTTGCCATTGTTATTGCTCTTTTTGTTCGCGAATATTTCCGAATCTCTGCATTGACAATGAAAATTATTTATATTAATTTTTGTTAATATTTTTTTTTTTGTGGCTGAAAATCATTGAATGCATTTTTTCCAATATTTTCAGAATTTTTAAGATTTATTTAATCATAAATTTATATGGAAAAGAATTTGTTTGCTGTAAGAAAACTTTTACTTCTTTGTTAAAATTAATTAATTGCATAGATTTTAGTTTTTGCTTTGAGATATTAGGTCAATCTTATTTTTATTTTAAAACAATACACATTAATATTATTAATAATATTTATATGTATTCATAGTTAGTTAGTTAATTTTGATGGAGGAAGGAACGAATCCTCCTCAATTAGCTAAAAAAACCATTTTAAATCCACAAAGGTTCAAAATAGTAGGTAGTAGAGAGAAGGTTAAGCTAGAACCAGTTATAGACATTTATAAATGCAAGAATCTGGTCAATGCTAATGCTAGAGATATTGCCGTGTGTGTTAAAGAAGGGAGACCCCAGAAACTTAAGCCTAGTTCTGGCTAAACCTGGACATAGACACATCAGGTGTTCTAGTGTCCTTTCTTCGAGAGCTGGCAGACACACATTACAGGAGATACCATACTATGGTTCAATGCCCTGTAAAGGCAGATATTAACCTAGATACCTAAGATTTGCTTCTGTGTATTAAGTCAGAGGTTCTACATTAGAAATAGGTTGTCTATGTAGCGCTAGACCTGACTGTTGAGGTGACAAGGGTGCACTTACGTATATATTAATAAAAATATTATTAATAGAGAGGTTTCGAAAACTAGTGAGCTATAACAACAAAATTTTTTTTACATTATTCTTAATTAATTGATTGGCTGACAACACAGCTGTTGCCAGGTACAGCGAGTATTGCCAAACTATTTTCTTTCAAGGCAGAAACATTTTATTTAACTTTTTTTAACTATGTTCTAGTTTTGTTTCAAGACATGCTCGACCTTGTTGTTGAAACTTTTGCTGTTTAGGAAATATAATCCAGGAATACTTGAAATTATTCAGTCATTTGTTTCGCAGATCCATGTAGAATATTATCGGGGTACTTATGTATTGTTTATCATTATTTTATCAAAAAACATTATTTGTTATCTAATCAAAACTTTTTATGCGCATTTATGTTTTTTTGACAATATTGGTTGCTAAGCTGTGGAGTAATAGATGTGTAATCCTTAGTACTTAGTTTGTTGTTTAAGCTAAGTGCAATATTTCTAACATAACGTTCATAAGATTATTAGATAAAATATGTGTTTCAAATCTACCTAGCAACTTATGAGAAACCAACTCTTATTAATTTGAAAAATAATTGTAAAGGTAAACAATTTTCAACATTTATCTCAATAAGCAAATAATTTCTTGAAAATTATTGCGAATCTAATACGTATTATTAATCAAATACTATAAAATTATAATATATAATATAATATAATAATACTAAAAATAATAAAAATAACTTACTGGGCCCCTTTTTCCCTTTTCCTTTTCCTTTTCCCTTCTTTTTTGGCGGCTGTGAAAAGTAAATAAGAACAATATTAGTTAACACTTTAAATATTTTTAAAAAATTTTATAAATTTAAAAAAAAATTAAGTTATAGATAGGCACTTATCGTTATAATGTAGTCTCATGCAAGGGAACTATCTATATCTATCGACAATAAGCAATTAAAACTCGACGGAAATATAATATGAAATTCTCCAATTCCTAAGTCTCTGCTTTCCAAAGCGAATCCCATGTTTAATAGATTTCCTCTTTCAAACCAGTTAAATCATATCGCCATCATTATTCATCGTCTGGCCTTTTTCAATGCAGTTGATGAACAAAGTTCCACGGACATCCTATTATGCATGCCATAATTTCACCAGCTATCTGTCGTATCTGGCCACTTTGGGCAAGGTTTGTCAACTGCCTAGTAAACGAAAAGGAAAAACAAAACCTAACTGACTTTAGCAGAATCTAAATAAGCATGCAGCAGTCAAATCGGCTTATTATTCTTGAACATATAAAGGCTGAAGCTTTCTGAACTTAAGCAGAACAGATATCAAACTCTACATGGAATTGCATACAGGCCGATGTAGACTGCGATACTACCTGAATAATATTGGTCTTGCAGTAAACGATTCTTGCCGACTCTGTTAAGAGCAACAGGAAGCCGTGCCGAGACGCAGACTTAACTATCTAGGCTTTTGAGTCCTGAACACCTAATTAAAATACGGCTTATGATTCTGACAAAATTCTTTAAAAGTTTGGAATTAGACTAGTTGAGTGAAAAGCAGCTCTAAAGATCTCTCAGGTCTTAGTGCATGCACAGTCTATCCATAATAATAATAATTTTATAGCCTATATAATGTACCTATGCACTTGTACAATTAACTATACATTATACCAGAGATGCATGAAACATATTAACTAATATAATTATACAGTTTATTATTCTTAAACTTTGTGGTTTCTACTAAAAATAAAAATATCATAAAGGTCCTTGATTAAAAAAAGTTGGGATCCACTGATATATATAGTTTCTGTTTTCGGAGTATTGGAGTATTCTAGGAGTATAAGTAGCAGCATGGATTATTTTTTTAGTTTATTTAAAAAAATTTAGTAAAAGGAGAATTATTGTACGCTTCTTGTTCTGAGTTGAGCCTTTTCTGAGTTAGTGTATCTGATCACTTTTACTCTTTGGTAACTGGAGGGTTTCTGCAGAGTCCCACCCAACTCACTGATTAATTTGTGTATTCCCTATAAACTTCGTGATTATTCAATGACTGATCTAAGATCTGCGTACCGTCCCGTGCGTTTAGTGATTATTCAGAGATTAGATAGTGTTAAGTAGGGCAGCCTGTCAGTTTTCGTATATAACTTGTATGCTCTGCACTCTCATAAAGTGGTGAGGTATTTATGGAGAATGATCTTTAAAGTTGAACCAGTTCTCAAGAGGTTGTAAAAATTTCTGAAAATGAAGTAAGTACTTTTAGGAGACTGAACGTTTAACTGCAGGACTTAGCTCTACAAAAAAATGGCACTAGGCAATATCTTGAGTTAGTTTCAAATTCATAGACAAGTTAAATTCTCATTACAATGATTTTGTTCTGCCTTTAGCGCTTTAATCTTTTGAATTGTTCTGCAATTTAATCCTCAAACTATTATCCCATGAAAAATAAATCCAAAAATTCCTCACATTTAACTTTGTTATGTTTATTATTTGCTTGAAATTGCATATTCCTTAAAAATTTAAGAATTAATGAACGAAGCAATGAAAGGAAAGTACGGGGGAGTGAAAAGATTGGGCGGACAGACATAATGTTTTAAATATTGTGATGGCGCGGCTTTCAAAACAATTTCGTAACAGATGTTGGCTTATTGCATATTTTATGATTGCAAATTATTCAAAAATATCCTCGTTGCCTACAAGTCGCCGCCGCATAACGCCACAGAACGCCACAGAACGCCGCACAACGCCCCCACCGACAACTCCATCGATTTGTGTATATAATATTTTGGCGCTAAAGGAGTGAAAATTCAAATAAAAACAAACTACAACAATACGTTCGCTGCATCATTTTTACAAAAGCGAGATTTTTCATAAATTCATAAAAATATAAAATTTTTTACTGCACAGCAGTTCGTGTCATATGAAAAATTGCAGTGCAGCGCATGCAGCTTATGCCGCGTGGCTTCTTATCGCAGCTCCGAGTGCAAGTGTTGGCATGCAAAATGGCTGCAACGCAACGTTGGCTTTGGCAATGGTGGCTTTGGCAACGTTGCCAGCTATGGAACGGAGTACGTCTGTTGTTGCTGTGGCGGTTCTCGTACCGTCGTCAGTGAAAGCGTAAGCAAATGATGATGATTTTTGTTTGGAGCTGATAAAAATATTCACTTTATCACTAAACGCTTGGCTTCAAGCGCTAAAGAGTTTCAATTCTTCGCAAATTTTCTGCTTTCTGCTATTATACCGAAGTTTCTTTAAGGATTTTATTTAAGGATTTTATTTAAAAAATTAAATAAATATGTATCGTACACTGCACTATTTATATTAAACTATTTCCGCTTACATTTTTCCTTAACTAGTTTTATTAAAAGTCTTCAAATATTTTTTACTTACCATTTTGATTCCGTTTGTTAGATTCGCAGTCCTCCGCCTTAACTCTTTATATTAATTATCAAAAATATATCACGTGGTCTCAAATATTTCACGCTGAAAACTTTAATTTCGGTAATTTTGTGTAAAATAATATTATTGCTATAAATTAACTGATGAAAATACTTTACTAGAAGCAAATAAAATGGTTTCCTTAGTGATAGAAATAAATAGTTTTTTTTTATTTATAAATTCTAACAGTTGCTATGTTCAATTGCTCAGCAATGCCAAACCAAATATATTATTGCCTTCTTTCTTATACTATGTTCAGACACGCCTTCAGACATGCGAGTTAGGCTAAATTGCGTTTTAAGGTCGTGTGCGAGTTAGGCTAAGTTGCGTTCTAAATGAGGGAAATTCAAAGTTGTGCCGATAATGTAGTGATGTGTCGATACGTGTTGATAAATGGCGAAATGTGTGCAGTGCAAAAAATCCCAAAAAATCTCCCATTTGGTTTAGCATCAACTTAGCCTAACTCGCACACGTCCTTAATTTCTACTTTATTTCAGGGAAATTAGAACGAAATTAAGTAAAATGCCCTTAAGGTACATTTCGAATGCAACTAAGTGTAAGATAAATTTCAGATAACGAAAAAGGGATATTTTTTTAAAATACATGTCAATGACAGTTGACTTTAATAAAACCGGTAGATATTTTGAAATTAGAACAAATTTTTAAATTTGAATATAGAGAAAAAACTGTAACTATTATTTATTTAAAATATAGTAAAAAATAATAATTCACATACTTGAAATCCCCCAAAGCTAATAAAACTACTGAATGTCATCCTTTATAGTTATTATAATCAACTTTTAAAATTGCCCAGATACAAATGGTGTTTGGAGCATGTAATCTTCAACATTCGATTTGTAAACAAAAAACATATGATTTCCCTAATTTGGGGCAGTATGAACACTTAAAAAATTAACTTAATTTCATTTTTACGAAATTAAGGAAATTTGACTGTCTGAACATAGTATAAGCCAAATTAGTAATGTGTCTATTATGGAACTAAAGTAAATTAATGTTTTTTAATATTATAATAATATATTGAAAGACCACCATGAGACCGAATTTATCGTTATCGTTTCCTAAAAAAAAACTTGTTTGGCAAGCTAGATAAAGCCTTATAAAACCAAAAATTTTGGTCAAGTAGTACAAACACTACCCCAATCAGTACCCAGCAGCTTATAGTGGCATCGATGCCAGAAGAATCACAATGGCATCGACGCTTTAATGATGCTTTAAGCAGCTTCGATGATTCAATGTGCAAAATATATTGTTTAATGCTATATTTCATCTCATTATTTTGTAAAAATTTTAAGTGTTTCTTTATATATAAATTCCTTGTATCTGTTTTTTATATTATATGTAATATTAATACAGTTATTATTTTTAAATAAATGGAATATATATTTATTTATTTATATTCACATATATAAATGGCTTTTATTTCAATTTGTTGATTCTTTGTTGTTGCTCTTAGATGCTTTGTGGCAGCGATAACGATTCCCACATAAAATTATATCGATTGGACCACATAATCGTATTGATTCCCCACACCTTCTTTCATATCACCACCGCAATGATGCGTTTAAGTACGACGAGGTATCAATAAAACACCGATGGTTTTCCTATGACATAAAATGCACAAAAATACATTTACTTGGTATAGTACTGGTATCGATGGTTCGTTCCAAAGTATCAATGCATCATCCAAAGTATCCAAAGTGTCAATGCATGGGTACTACTTAAACTGTGATTCAAAAACCCATAACATAAAAAGCTGGTGAGTAGCTTCGATTTCGTTGGGTAATGGTGATCACTGATTTAAGGTCGACTTCAAGTCAAGTATTTGCAAATAATTGTGGATAATTGAAAAGACTGGAGAAATAGTGAAAGGAAAATAAGAAAATACATGGAGAGTACATGGAATAAGAAAAATAAACTGTCAATAATAGGCATTATCTGCCAATGAAGTAAAGTTCTGAAATTTAAATATAATTTATATATCACATAATATATAGTACATAATTTTTTATATATTTTATATTTAAAATTGAATTTAACCGTAAGTAAGATATTTCACTCTTCTAATGATAGGAGAAATATGATTTATTGGCAGGTACTCGAATATCCGCAAGAAGAAGAATCTCCAACCACTGTTCTTTTAGTTTAAAGCTATTTATGAAAAGTAAATGATTAACTAACATTTAGTGAAAATTGAATTACTTCAACTATTAAACCAATTTCAGTTTCACACGAATCAATTTGTACAATTTTAATCTATTTTTTGAGCATATAATGCGTTATCGTTCGAATATTGTCAAAAGAACGGAATAGTCTGCAAAAATTCCATCGCTTGAAGGTCGCTAAAGACGTTATAGAATAAATGAATTTCATTCAATTAATAAATAATTAATAATAATAAAATAATTAACTCTAATTATTTTGTTGTATTGAGATATTGAGTTTGGTGTGCTAGCAAGCCTGGGTGTCCTATTACTAAGTCGTAACCGAAAAAAGCACGTAAAAGTCAATCAAAAGTGAAGGTGTTGTATTCTCGTGTTTGTGTTCTCGCAATTCTCACCAGATGGTAAAAGAATAAATAAGGAATATTATCAGTTTATAATGCTGCGTTCGAAGGGAAACAATTTCTCGAAAATGATCAGATTTGGTAAGAAAACTCGAGGATTTTATATAGCGATAGCGCACCTTCTCCCAAGGCTATCATTGTTAACAAATTTCTCGTCAAAAACACAACCCAACTTCTCAAGTGTTTGCTATTAAGATAGTGAGTTATGTATCATTCCAATAACATATTTAATTAAAAAATTTGTTCTAATATTAAAATTCTCGTAAGTGAAAATATATCTAAAATTAAATACCCAAGCATGAGGCAGTTAATATTAAATTTGGGCAAAAACCCAGGGCAATCTGAGTTGCACAAACACTTTTGTTTTGGACAAGTGATTGTCTAACTGTCAGTCCGTTCAACTGTTTCTGACTCAATATTAAGTATATTTATTTTGAAGCAACTACTAAGAAAGTGTTAAAGCATCTTCAACTATTTTGGCTGTGCACACAACACACATTCAACTTGGAGGAACTGCAATCCGCATTCTTCACTGCAGCCTGTACAAATTTGGCGGTATGTAAACAAATTTAGTTAAACAATCAGCAGATGTTGATGTTGTTGCAACTGCATTTGTTGTTGTTGTCAGAACAGCAATTGGAGTTGCAGAGTACGCATTTGGAAGAAAGCTTCCAACTGCACATTTGCTTTGATGGCATTTCTGTGGCCAGCACTCTAACCGCCAACAGCTTTGTCTGTTTCTGGTTTCATATTTTATCTCAAAATGCAAAACCAAGTTCATTGCAATACAAGAGCCAATAGAAAAAATATTTTTGAGAGCAGTAAGTGTGATAACAGTGCTTCCAGTATAAAATAAAAAATATGTAACATGCAAACACAATTATTTATAAAATAAAAAGAACTTTTCTAAAACAAAATATAAATTAAAAAAATTATTGCTGGAGTGCTTTGATAAAATAGCCAGAAACAGAAGTTACCATAGGTTTGAGCTGCAATTGGCACACCAAGTGCCAACCTAGAAGACGATATGCGGCAGTTTTATTGAGTTGCAGCCAAAGTGGTCCTAAACTGCTTTTGGCCAAGTAAACTATGAGTAATTTTTCTTGTCGTTTAGAATGTCCGCCTACATTTTTATCAAAAGAAATGCTAATTTAATTTCATTAAATTGCTGCTCTCATCATTATCAATTTAGTTTTAAAGTAGAGAGCTGTGAATGTATGAAAGTATGTATAGTCAAAATATTTAGTGCAAATATTTTTGGCATTCCACGACATTCCTTACAACATTTCCTATTGACTTAAACAATTTTGCTTTTAATTTTATAATTTTTTTTTTTGTGTATTTTGGCAAAGTTCCTGCCTTTATATCATAATTTCGTGCTTTAGCATTTGCTTGATAGCTTCATAATCTTTTCCGTCAACTTCCTTATTTACTTTCATTCTTTATTTGGCAATGTTCCTGCCAGTGTCCAGCTGTGTTGTTTTGGATTTGGAATTTTTCTCGGGACTAACTTGGCTTTGTGCGCTTCTGCACTTTTGTCTGCTCAGTGTTTAATGAGTTCCTAGAGCAAATTTAATTAACTTTATTTAGTGCGCGTTTAGGTGAAGGCGTTGCTACTCCTTGAAATTCAAAAATTAAAATTTAATTAGTGCCAAAGTAATTGGCTTATTTTCATCAATGTGCTTTAATGCTGTAAAATGAATGCTTTGATTTTAGGCATTTGATTTTAGAATTTTTATAATATTATACAATATTACCATTAAAAACTGTACAATATAAAAATGTTTTAAATGATTTTACTTACTCATAATTAAGTAGCAGATACAATTTCACAATTTTAAATCAATTATTTTAATCAAAATTCAAATTTGACTCTAAAATATATGCAAGAACAACAATAATTTCACTAGTAAACAATATTTTATCCCGCAGTTATTTGCGACTATACAGCGACTTCCACAACGGAAGATAAACAAATCAATATATCCTCCAGCTACCAAGTCCAGGCAAATTTCATCATAAGACAGTTGTTTTATGTGCAATCGTGTAAAACAGTTGGAATTTCTTAATCAGCCTAAGAAGCAGGCAATTGACTTGGTTAAAAGGAAACCATAACCTAAACATGGAAGCGTGTGAAAAGTTCTCAGCTTGAAACCACAAAGCCAACGAGGCGGTTAATAATTTCAGAACTTTAAACAGCAGCAAAATTAAAAAGGCCTTCATTTAATGGCAGTTAACTTTGTAAGAAGTGGGCGCGTCGAGTGTTCGGAAGAAAAAATCTGAAAGCATAATTTTGCGCCATACTTTCTGGCATAACTTCTCACGCCTTAATTTATGCCCACTGAAAGGAGCAAAAATTCGCTGGCATGAAATTTATCCGACACAGCAATTATAAAGCAACTTTACAGGGCCTACATAAACAAATGGCCAATATCGCGCACGTTTTTCGTATCCTTGCACAAGCCAGGATACTTGGTACAAGTACAAGTGATACCAGAGCTATCGAGTGGTTGGAGAAAACGAAGGGTGAACGGC